TCTGGTTTCAGGTCTAAGTTATTTTCCACACATTTATTTTGTATTATGTCTTTGGTAAACATTACAAAGTCTTTGTAATGAACCTGTTCATTTGATCAAGGTGTCGGAGCAGGGATGCACCTAAAAACTCAACCAGCGCTTTTGAAACCATCTGCCTTAAAGTTTTAAAAGTAAAATATTTATTAAACTCTTTTGATATCAATATTTTTATAATGACACTAGAACCCTGCTTTGGGTTTGGCTCCTTTTGGACTAGCTGTGTATAAAAATGCACTGAAGCTTCAGACTCCAGGTCCAACTGTTGAGATTTAATGCTTGGGGTACGATAGCAGAGTTCAGGTCTCTTTAAAAAGAAAAAGAAAAAATCAACTGTGGCATTAGTTAATGTAAAATGTGTGAATAAATGCTAAAAGAACAAAAATAGGCTTGGAGAAAAAAAAAAGTATTACATGGAAGAATATTTCTGTATTCCTGCTTTAGAGAAACGTAATTGTTTGGTGGTTATATAATATAATCCAACCTGACTTTGACTTTTATGCAAATCTTGTTTCTGACGGATGCAGTTTAAAGGATCTATTTTGGCTTCTGTTAGTGAGTGAAAACCTGCCCTAACCCTGAAACTAACACTGACGACGCCATTTATCATCCAATTATGCATCATAAACTTTCAGATAATCCTTAACTAATGCAGTTTATTGTAAGCCGATTGAAGTGTCTTGTTTATTTTTGCGAGTAAATGCACTACATGTATTTTTCCACACTGCGGTGGTACGTCTTTTTGTTGTTTTCCAAAGTGTCCTCTGATGCTAGAAGTTTCTCAGTGCCTTAACCCAAAGCCCTTAAAGATGTTTTAACAGTTTTTAACTTCTGGCTTTGATGTTTCGCAGGTTTTTCACAACATGATGTCGACACACTTCGAAAGGAGTGCTGTGGTATTTTTAGCCCCCCCTGTTTCTCACACACTGTGGGGCATTAAAGCTAAAAAAAAAAAAAATAACCCTAGAAAGACCTGCTTTTATTAAATATTTATGTGTTTGAAAAGGTTGGATTTTATTTATGAACGCGACGCTTTAGTGTCTTGCAAAAGTATTCACGCCTCTTTGAACTTTTTCCACATCTTTTATGTATTTTGGGGGATTGACGATGGACCAACTGTAGAGAAGTGGAAGAAGAAGTGATTTATCTTGAACAAACATCTGAAAAGTGTGGCAGGCATTTTCGCTGAGGCAATAGATTCAAGCCTGACTTGCTACCCCACTATGCCTCAATTTTTTTGCCAATAAAATGAATCGTTGTCTCATCCGATCAGATCAGCTTCTTCTGTTTGCTGCCCTCTAAACGGAATTGACAACTCAGGATTTTATTTAGGTGTATCAGAGTTTTTCCTCGTTTTTCCCTTCCACTTTTTTATGCTTTGATTCAATTCAGTTTATTTCTATAGCGCCAATTCACAACAAATCATCTTAAGGCAATTTACGCTTCAACCAGATCGTACATTCAAATTGAATCAAAGTTTTCTATCGAAGGAAAACCAGTTGATTGCATCGACTCATCGACTCCCTCACACTAAGCATGCTTGTAGCGACAGTGGAGAGGAAAAACTCCCCTTTAACAGGAAGAAACCTCCAGCAGAAGCAGACTCACTGTGAGCGTCCTCTCTTCAGTTAGTCTCCCCAGAGTACATCAAGATTTTGAACGTTAAAGCCAGAAACGTTTTAGAGGTGTGAAAACTTTTGCAGGGCTGGAAAAGTGCCGAACAGGCTCAGCGTCAAGACCGTCAGCCCCTACCCTCCCACTTCATGGGTTGTTACATCTTTTACTTGATTTGTTTTTCTTTTTTTAATGTGTTTTATAAAAAGAAAATAATTACTAATGTTGAGATTATTTTTACTGATATTTTGTGTGAATTCTGGTCGACATCTCTGTAAAATGTTCGTTCTTTGGTTTTTCATTGAAATAATTTTTTGATCACGACTCACACTACATGTACATTAAAGAAAATGATCAATACATCTCAATCGTGGTATATTTGGGTCATTATATCTGTGTATGAAGAGTTATACAGCTGTTATATAGCAGGTGATGATAAAGGGACCATAGATGAAAGGATCCATCGTTCCAATAATGATTCTGATTCTGTTCCATCTTCCCCCAAACCAGCCATTCTCACTGAAAACAAGGAAGTCTTGGGAACTGAGATCCACTGAATTTGTCCATTCTCTCTCTAGATCAGGGGTCTTCAACGTTTTCCAGGCTAAGGACACCCAAAGTGATGGCGAGATGGAGCGGGGACCCCCTAATTATATATATTGTATGAAATTGTGTTCTATCAAACTGGTCCTATAGTCCCTCTATTACAGATGGAATAATGTAACTAAAGTAATTTGGCTCTGGGATTATTAAAGTATTTCCGATTCTGATTCCTGGTTGATGGGACAGGTGTTGTGAATGAAACGGTGCCCAGGTTGAAAGAGCTCCTGTGTGTTGCTGAATGTCTGCATTGATAACTGAAAGACATCTTCTGCCTCCATTTATCTGTTTACTACAGTGTGTTGAATTCATGTTAATGTGGATTTAAACACTGGAAAAAATTGCAGGGGGGAATATATATATATATAAATATAAAAAAATATATATATAAAAAAATTATATATATATATATATATATATAAAAAAATTATATACATATATATATAAAAAAATTATATATATATATAAAAAAATTATATATATATATATATATAAAATTATATATATATAAAAATTTAAAAAATTATATATATATAAAAAATATATATATATATACACCAAAATTTTCGCGACCCCCATGCAGTTCCTCCGTGGACCCCCTGTTGAAGACCTCCGCTCTAGAGACAGAATTAAACCTTAATGACTGACTCTTTAAAGCAAACTAAGAAGATATTCAGTTCAGCATCTATCTTTATTTTTGATGCCAGGGGTGTCGAACTGGTTCCAGAAAGGGTCGTGTGGCTGCAGGTTTCCTTTCCAACCAAGCAATAGCACACCAGACTCCAGTCATCTCATCAAGTGAGTCCAATCTGAACATGATGACTTGATGAGATGAATGGAGTCTGGTGAGCTGTTACTTGGTTGGAAAGGAAACCTGCAGCCACACGGCCCTTTCTGGAACCAGTTTGACACCTGTGGTATAAGCTATTAAATACAGTTAGGCTCTTTGTCAAGTAGCTGTATGTTTTTGATTTTAATGTACCTGATTTGACACAACTTCCGGCAGAAAACTTGCAACGTTTGAGATCTTTTCTTTTTTTTTTAAAATACATTCCATTATTAAAAATCTTTTAATATACCAGCCTAACCTTTCTGCATCGTGTTCTGAACATTGATAAAGAAAAAAAAAAAAAAAAACTCTGGACTCTATAAAGGTTAGTAAAGGAATAAGAAAAAAAAAAATCAATGTTTCACCATTAGTTATCTTTATAAATGTATTGCAGATCACATCTGAGGCTTACCAGGAACAAAGACGTGTACCAATAGTTCTGCTTTCCTGTGGATTTACAGCTTCTATTTCCTGTCTTATGCAATCCAAAGCAACTGCTGAAGAGTTCTGCTTTTCTTTTAAGTTAATACTTTAAAACACAAATGTTTAATGGTTGTAATTTTGACAGTGCCAATGAGCTGAATGTGTTCTCTAGTATGTTCAGCTGAGAAACGAGCTCAGCACCAATCTCTCCTGCCGTCCTTTGACCCAAACCTTCTGTTTCATTGACTCTCCTGCTTCTGTTTGTCAGCCAAATCAGAAGATGGTGTTGCTCCCTCCACTTTTCAGCTGTCTCTAAAGTCAAGTGAAGATGCAGCGACTCTTAGTCACCAGGTCTAGATGGTGTTAGCCAGAAACTACATAAAAATACACCAGTTTGTGAGACTGAAGGGTCAGCTGCTGAATCTAGTAGTCAGGAGCGCCACAGGGGATGGTAGCTCTGACTTCCAGTACCAGACAGAGTCCTGTCATCTGCAGAAATACTCAAATGACTGCAGTCATTGGGTGCATCAATGATGGACAAGAAGGTTAGTACAGAGAGCTGGCGAACCGCTTTGTGGCATAGTGTGGAAACAACCATCTGATCCTGAATGTCAACAAAACAAGGGATATGTTAACAGGATTCAACTTGTTCCTGTTTCTTTTGAAATCTCCAATCATAATGGGTGAAAAAGTGGAGTTGGTGGAGGAGGATGAATATCTTAATGTTCACCTGAACAGCAAACTGAAGACGTTACTGTGACGCCGTCTTCAAGAAGGGACAGAGCAGACTGTACCTTCTAAGGAAGCTTAGCTCCTTTGGCGTTTGCACCAAGATCTTCTATAAGTCTGCTGTGGAGAGGTTTATCTCTATCTCCATCATCTGCTGGGGCAACAGTATCAGAGATAATGACTTAAAAGAGCTAAACAAGCCGATATAGACCAGCTCTGTTCTGGGAACTCCTTTGGAAATTATTGCACAAGGAAGAATTCTTCATAAAGTGAAGAATATTATGGACAACAGTGACAATCCTCTTAAGATGATTTTTAGACAAAGTGTCTTCAGTCAGGGGCTTCTCCAGATCAGGTGCAAAATAGACCACTACAGAAGTTCCTCCCATCCTACAGCTATCAACACCTACAACTACTCAATAGTAGAGCTGCAATAAGATTGAATTTCCCTTCAGGATCGATCAAATATTTCTTAATTGAATCTATAGTTTTATGTTATTCAACCATGTGATCAGAACGGCAGCAACAAAGTTATATGAACCCAGGAAGTGAGTATTTCTCAGAGAAACAGAAGCTTAAAAAGCCAATGAGTCTTTGTGATTTGCATCGATATTTTCAGGCGACAGTAAACCTGTGATGAATTAAAGTCAAATTAGGATTTACCAGATAGAAGTAAACTGCTTACTATCCAGTTAAATATTTTCTAGCAGGCGTTGAAAACAATCAAAGCTTTAAAAAACAGTCACATGACTAAAATAACACCACACACTGATGACTTGGTTCTATTTTATTACATTTTATTAAAGAAAAAACAACCGTTCCCCTTTAGAACCACGGTTCCCAGCCCCCCCAAACTCTGCCGAGCACATTGGGGTCAGTGGCCTGGTCCAGCAGACATTCTACCTGCTGCTCCACAGTCAGGCCCGCAGCGGGAAGCTTGGCCCGGATGTTGTGCTCCTCACTTCCCAAAGCCACGGCCTGCATTCCAGGGAAGGCAGCATCCTTATCGAAGCCCAGCTTCAGCTCCTCGCTGGGGAAATAAACACATCAGGAAGCAAAAGTTACTCATCTGCAGGGTGAGTCCTCAGCAGAAGATGTGCACAAAAACAAACAGTTCAAAGTATTTCATGCTTTAGATATTTGCACTAATCTTTCTGCTGCGTTCACTGGCCTGTTCTCTAACAGAGCAGATAGAATTAAAAAGTTTGGACTACCACTCTACTAAACAGACAGAATTAGCTGAATTAGTTTTTAATTAGAGCCGTGTAAAGTAGAGCCACATTCATGCAGCAGCTCATCAACATGTGGTTGATGTAAGCTGAAATACGACATTATAAAAGATGCTTCCTTTTCAACATACACTACTTAACAGGAAATGATCTGAAATCACCTGGTTATGGTTGCTGGATTAGCGCCCTCTAGCTTCCTTTTGGCGAAGTTCACCTTCTGCAGGGGAAACCAGTTGATCTCTTTGGTGTTTACGCTTTCAGTCCATGTGCCTCCTTTCTTCAGTTGTTTCACCTCATAGTTCTGCATAAAAAAAAAAAAAGGAAAAATACTTTTTAAAACTAAAACTTAAACCAACTCCATCAAACCAGCATCTCAGGTTGTGTGTTCAGCCTTTTAACATTAACAACCCAGACAACGGGTATTTTAGGGAGAATATAATAGATTGTCTGATCTCTACTCCATTCTGGAAGGTGGTGGTAATGCACCTATAAGTTGTTTTCCAACTGCCATTAAAAAATAGAAGAAGAAGAACCCAGAGGAGAGATCCATTTCAAAAAGCTTCATAGACCTAGGCTAACAGAAACCTAAGCTTTTTTTTTTTTACCTTCCAGTCCAGCGAGGGCTCCTTCACAAACACATCCATGGTGTTGAGCAGCAGGTCCGGCTCGGCCCTAAAGGCTCGTAGGGAGTGGACCATGGTGCTCTGGATCAAACCGGACTCCTTCAGCGGCTTCATCAGATCCACAAACTGCCGAGTCAGTCGGAAAGGCATGAGCTCCGGCACAGGGAGGAACTGGAGGGAAAGAAGAAATTCATTTTTAAAACATGATCAGACCCCATCAGACCCAGAACTCTACGGCCACGTCTGAGCTCGTCCGACGTACCTGTGTGGCAGATCCAAAGGCGTGGCCGAAGTCGATGCCGATCATGCCTCCGGTTTCCATGTTGATCATGAAGTTGGAAAGATGGCGGTCTCCGATTCCCAGAACCCAGTGGCTCACACACAGCAAAGCGTGGGAGCTGGTGAAGTGAGATCGCAGGGAGAGGAACGCCTCGGGACCGTTGCACATTTTCAGGAAAGCTCTCCTATGAACCAACCATATGAGACTGCATTACCTAAAAGCCAAACTAACCGTTAGATTTATCTTTTTAACTGTTGGACATACTTCAGCAGATTACTGGGTACTTCCTGTTGGACGTTCAGGAAATTCCTGACTGCATCAGAGCGTTTCGCTTTCCTGGTGAAAAGAAACATAAACTTTAGATTAATTTTCCATCTGAATACAGCAGATATGTGAATCAAAGATGTAAGCAGCGTACCTGTAACACAGTCCATACGGGGCGACGGGGTTTGAAGAAGCTCCAAAGGTGGCGAGCCATTTATTGTAGATTTCAGGACACCTAAACCAGAGAAACAGCTGAAGGGATTCACAAACTAGGAAAGCAATATAAATACTGATTGAATCCAAAAGAATCTCTCATCTCAGCCACGTTTCCATGGTAACAATGAAAGGTTAATAATACCGATGTAACACACCGTACTGTCTTTTGCCGTTCCTCTTTGGTCAGCGTGTTGTAGATGAACTCCTTCAGAGTGCACGTATTTTCCATCCATTCGATCAAACCGATTCTGTGAACAAAAGTTTAGGTTGTTTATTGTTTGTTTATCCTCCAACATTAAATATACTGTAGCTTCACTTTTATTTCAACTGAGTTCTGACTTATATAAACTTAATATTTTATTGGATTTTTACACTAAGCCAACATGAAACAGTGTGGAAATGTGTAAAATGATAGAAGCAGCTTTCATTGCAGTGACAGCAGAAGGTTTTGCTGGGTGTCCCTCTACCAGCAGTAGAGGCTCCGCCCCCTTGTCACAAGGTTTTTCTTCCAGCATTTCTCCAATTCTAATGCCATTCCTCCCATGAAATCTCACATGGAGAAAGACAACATCAACATAAATGTTTGCGTCGCTGTCCGAAATTTTTAAATGCAAGTCAATCAACATGTCGTGTTTACATTAAAAAAAAAAGTTTATAAGCTTAAAACTCATTAGTTTCTTGTTTTCAACTCCTAATAAATGTGACATGAGATGTTTTATCTGAAAATGCAAGTTTAAAGTTTTTTGAAAGTTTTCAATTGAAAAAGCTTCCTGGATGGGATGCGAAACGTCTTCAAACTTGGAAACAAAGTTTGACAATCTTCACTAATCATCACACAAGTTTAAAAGTTATGATTTTGCAACAATACAAAATTACAAGAATCTCAAATTTTACAGGTGATATGGGTTGTAGTTTCACAAAGTTGTAAGTTCTAAACTCGTACTGCTACAAAAAACATCTAATGTTACATTAATGTAGGAGGTAACAACAAGGAGAAAACAAAATCTCAAATTTATTGACTTCAATTTACTAACTCAGAAACGAATGCAAATGTATTATTGACTTCTAAAACTTTGCTTCTCTGTCGCCTCTCAAGAAAAATATCCCCACAGCATCATGCTGCCACCACTGTGTGTTCAGAGTGACTCAAACTAACAAATCCATCCACAGCAGCAGCAGCTTTGTCCATAATTTGTCTCCTAAATAATTGTACGCCTTTATTTAAATATTAGAGTTCTTCTTACTTCTTGTATAAAATCAACTAAACTTGCAGTCATGTAACAAAACATGAAAAAGTTCACAAATCAGCTCTTTTTGTAGTTTTGCTTGACTGGTTTCTACCAGAACCATCTATCAGTCTATGTAGTTGAGTCGTTAAGACATGGGCGTAGGTTTGCATAGGGACCATAGGGACATGTCCCTACCAAAATTTTGGAAGGACCTATTCGTCCCTACCAATAATTGGATGTAAACAGCATATTTATAATTTACTATACAGCAGCCGCTTCTTTTCCTCTCGCAGCTTCTCTGCCTGGTAGCTGCAGCTGCCTGCTCTTTCCTGTTCCTTTCACATAGCAGCGCATCAACTGTGCTGCGCGGTTTAACTCTCTGATTATTCTGCCTTAAGTTCCGCCTCCGATTGCGTGTTTTCTAGTCTGTATGTGCACGCGCGCGGGTGCTTGGAGCACGAAAAAAAAGACGCTAAAATAAATTAATATTGGGCTGCGAAACTAGTCCAAATTAAAAAAAATATTATCTACGCTAAAACAGGCGAAAGCTTCTGATTGGAGTTCTGTAAAGAACTGATTGGAGTTCTGTAAAGAAGCAGGAGAGAGTTTTATTGATTTGTGGAACTTGAAAAATGTAAGTTAACAACGTTAGGATTTCTTTTATTTTATCTTTTAATCAGATAGCCAAAGGCTCCTTAAAGAAGATCTTTTATGAAATGAAACCAGGTGAAACAGAAACGTTTAAACGTTTCCTTTGGAGGAGTTCTGGATGGAGAATATTGACAGACAAAAACTTTTTTTTTTTTTACTTCTTAAATGCTAATATTTTTTTACAATCTTGGTATAATTCCTGCTCTAAGTGGGTCGCTCTGTCGGCTAAAGGTACATTTTAGTGGCCCTATACTCCAGTTTACAATTAATCAATTACTAAATTAGTTCACGATTATTTAAATAATTTGTTAATATGATTGTTTCAGCCATAGATAAAATACATGAAATTAGCTACACAGAGTAACTACAGCCCAAATGTACAACTTCTAATATTAATACTTTAAATGCTCAGTGTCAGTTCCTCTTCTAGTTCCAGTGCACATGTAAATACAATACATTTATTTGCTGTCCCTTGAATGTATTATTTTGCATGATCCAGAGAGAGCATATTAGATAAAAAAAAAATAAAAATAAGAGTGGGTTTTACCTCTGCACAATTCTCTATCTTCAGAAGAAAACACAGGATAAATCCACATATTATAGACTATATTTGGTTAAACAGACACTGTCTTAGTAGCAGGTAAATTTAAATGCAATCCTTTTCAAAGTGGAAAAAGTCCTAATTCCACATTCATCAGAGCAAGTTATGCTTTAAATATTGATAAACAGCATCTAGTGCATGTAGTGCTTATAAGATTTGTATTAATGTAGCAAGAAATGCTGCTGTTCTCTTTAAACAAAATGAGCCCTGAAGCTCACATTAAGCATAAAAAAGAGCATGCATATTTTTGCAAAGGACCAATGAAACTGAAGAATAGTGTCCCTTCCAAAGTTGAAATCAAACCTACGCCCTTGCGTTAAGAAGTACCTGGTGTTGATGGGAATGACTTGATAAGTGCGGAGCTGCAAGCCACGGCGTGTGCAGGATGTGTCATGGCTGAGCAAAATGTTCATGACAGCAAACAGCTGCTCGATGCGCTGGTCCTGCCGTAGATCCTCCCCGCCCTTCACCAGAAAGGGGTGGTCCCGCTCGTCGTTCCCGCGGATGATCAGACGTTTGGGTTTACGCATAGAGGACATCACTTTTACCTGCGAGAGACGTGCTGAACCATGGTTACTACTAGACCTTTAATGGTTTTACCTTTAAGTATTTGACAGAGGGAGGGGGTAAAGCCTACCCTTTCATCAAAGCCGGTGATTTTAGCATGATACTCCGGTAATGGCTTAGATCTCCCATCATACTGCCCTACAGAGATAAAAAAAAAGAATGCTTTTCACATTTGGCCGGTAGGTGATGAATCGTTTTCTGTTTATTTACTCAGCTGACAGACCTGGAACCTCCAGCTCGTTGCCGAACGGGTCGGATTTAAATCCACTCAACCAAGGAGAGTACTCCTTCAGATTCCCCGGTTCCTTCTGAAATCCCTGCATGGATTTTTGCAGCTTATCCACCTCTTGCAGAAAGCTTTTGTTTTTCATCTTCTCGAAAAAATTGTTACCATCAGGTCCAAAAAGTTTTTCCAACTCTTTGGAGAATTTCTGCAAGGAAAGGACAAACTTCAATGTCACCTTCTTAGCTGAAACCTTAATGTCTGTTAAGTAAAATACCACAGAATAGATTTGTGACAAATACACCAACTTCTTTAATGAAAAAAGCTTAAAGATTAGAGAGCCAGTCTGCACATCCAAACATACTGAATTCTTCCCTAAAAAAACTTTAAAGAAATCATACAACTTAGTTCTTCTTAATTCAAACAGTAAACATTCCCAATTTGTCAGCTTCTACTTCAGAGCTACAGACCCATCCAAACCCCCATCTTTATTGCTAAAATTATATACAAAAAAGCTGTATTTAAACAGTCAAACACCTTCCTAACAATTAGCCGCTACTAGAACATCTGGAACATCAGGTCAGCCTTTCTGAAACAGCACTGGACTGGTTTAAATCTTACTTAAAGGACAAGAAACTTTTTAAGCCAGTAGGTAACAGAGCTGTACAATCACAATTTAGCAAAACACAACTTTCAAATAGCAGATGTACTTCATTTCAGTCACATTAGTAATAAACTGTATTTCTCCTTCAGCCCTTTAAGTGGCAGTAAAAGCTGTAAGGTAGGCTTGCCACCACAGAGAAGGCAGAAAGGTGCAACTAGCAGCAGATCCATGCATGATACTAGAACTTTTTCACTCAAAAGTTAAAGTCCTGCAACAAGGGACAAGCAAGCTTTTAATGTCATAATAAAACCCTGGAGAGCAACATCTACATGTTTGTGTTTACTGCAAAAGGAAATCTAAATAAAATCGCAATATTAGTTGAAAATTATAGTATATTTTGACTTTTTGCAAAGATGTTCAGCTCTTGTCGGCAACCACAAAAATCACAAATGGCGTTCCCCAAGGGTCCCACTTAGGGTCTTTGGGTAAATGCAAAAATATGCCAAGAATTCCTACAGCTAAATAAAAAGAAAGCTGGAGTAAAACAATTTGGGACAAAAGGAAGAGCTTTAGAAGTTAAAATACTTCTATTAGTCTATAAATCACTGCATATCTTAGCATCAAAATACATTACAGCCTTGCTGTCAGCGGATCAACCAACCTTCCGAATAAACTCTACTCTGCATCATCATCAACTTTATTTATAGAGCATTTTAAAACAGCTAAAGATTAAAACAAAGTGCTGAACATAGTTAAAAGAATAAAACACACCATAAAGATATGAAAAAATTATTAAATTGAATTAAAAAAGCGACCAAAACTAAGTCCTGCCAGAGTTAAAAACCAATAATTAAAACAAGAAATAGAAGCATGGATAACTGTTTCAAAAGGCTGTATACCCAGAACAAGACAGTGAAGATATTTTAAAGTGTTTATGCTTCACAAAAACACAAAGATACTTTAAATCAGGTTAAAAAAAACAACTAATTGTTTAGTTTAACCTTTTGAATAAAACATTTAACTTGTTTGTCAGACGTTTGTTTAACTGCCACTGCGATGTTCTGATTCTCTGCATGATCCGTGTTTGTTCTTTGTGTGCCGCATGTTATGACGTTTTGAAACTAAAATGTGCTAAACCTTCAGACAGATGTTGCAAAAAGCTGCAAAGTCAGCATCACTAGATCTAGTTTGTTAGTAAAGATCACACATTATGAAAAGCTCCCTCATTAAATGAAAGCATTTTCTGTTCATGATGGTCCGGATCAGTTTCACCATTAAAACGAGGCAGAAATAAAATTAATTTAAACTAGAATTCAATATTATATCATGTTCAGGTACTAATGCAGAATTTCAATTTATATAAACGTGTTTTAATAATTCTGATTATCAAAAGCTGCACTTTTTATGATCTACCTTAAAAGAAATAACAAGAAATGTGTTAAGTAGAATTTAGATTATGTAAACGGGAAACAAACTTGTATAAATTTCCTGCGAAAGCCTCCCAGGCCATCCATGTCACGATCCAGGAGCGATGAACGCATCTCCTTATACATGTCGGCCATTTGCTTCTTGGTGACAGAAGACTTTTCTACTTCGTTTTTCACACTCTCCCACCAGTCCTGTGAAAACCAGGACGAAAGAATACAAACGTAAAACAAACAGAAGCACTAGTCAGATGGGTTTATGTTGTAAAAAACAACCTTAAAGATCATTTCAGGATTGGTGAACTGCTGCAGGGCATCCACAAACTTCTTCACAGCACCTCCTTTGTCCAGCAAGCTCCTGATCCTGTAGACTCACAAGCAGGAATTATAAGAAAACTTTCTCCTTTTGGTGGAGAAATCAAGTAAAACTGAACATAGGAAGTCAGACTACCTGTTGACAAACTCCTCCTGCTGGTGACCCGTTGCAGACTCTTCAAAGCGGTAACTCTCACTGCTGATCATCAGAGCGTAAACCAGCGCCTGAGGGTAGCACTTGGCTATCTGCTCAATGCAGTGCTGCACCGCTACAGCTTCAGGCTTGTCCAGCAGCGCCACCATTTGGCTAATCCAGCCAATGAGAATCCAGCAGGGAACAGACACCATCTGAATACAAACAGAGACTGATAAGACGCTCAGGGGTGGTTTTAAAAGTTTTATTTTGGGATTCTTTCCCTTAAGAAGCCAATTTAGCCTAAATAATAAACATCCGAATGCTGGTTCGGGTGCAAACAAATGAACAAACCTCTTTTGTCATGAGGTCCAGTGTTTCTGATGGGTACAGCTCAATAATCTGCAGCAGACGTGGAAACTTGAGGCGAGCCTCTTCAGAGTTCATCTTTAGAGCTTTCAGCATGCTCTCCACCACATGGACGGGCAGCGCCAGGAGCTCCGGGAACTGACTGACTGTATTCAAACACAGGAGAAATGACCAACAAATTTCCACATTTTATCCTCCTGCAATTGAACGTTTAATGTTGATGTTCGATTACTAAGAAATAAATAATGAAATGTAGATCAAACGTGGATTTAAAATAAGCGAACAGAACTAGCTTTCACTTCCATCACAGCTGAAATCCTTTTAGGTGCATCTAATGACTGAAATGTTTTACCATCCTGCAAAACTTTACCTAACAGATTCTCTAAACATAGTTCCTCTTACTTTCTGGACTTTAACTAGGCCATGCTAATGCTACGTTCACACTGCACGCGACTGAAGCAGCTGGTTTCCGTGCAAAGGCAATGGTTGATGCGCATCAAGGCGTATCAAAAGGTCCTTCAGTACGTCCGAGCAGCGCCTCATTACCTTCTGAACATCTGAGGCGCTTCATAAGCAGCAGCTGCTGGAAAAATTTAACTTTCGATGTTCGATGCGCCACATCAACCAATTAGAGACGCTAGTAGGGAGACAGACACAGCAGAGCGCTATGATCCCTCCTCTGAAACAGTTTATTAATGCCTAAATTAACTAAAATGTCAAACTTTGCCTACAAAATATGTTTGCTTTTATTGTTTTGATGCCTGCAGTTTGGATTGCATACCTGAAAAATGCTAACATCTCTTTCCAGCCGCCACAAACAGTAGGGAAAACCCCCCAGAAGCGACCGGGCCTGAAGCAGCTGCTGTTGGGGATTCCCAGTGACAGCACACAGCAAGTATGTGGGGGGGGAACAGCTCAGGCAGAGAAATAAAATTTGAGGGCAGCATCGTAATCTTGATGAACTGACTGCACAGACAACGTTTTCAGATCTACTTTCTAGCAGAAAACATTTACTTTTTACCTTTATCCCAGGAAATATAGCAAAGCCGCTCTATCATTGAACGCAGAAGCATCAGATGCATCTGGACACACTTTACTGGAGTGTACAAGCATCAGAAATGAAGCAGCGGACGCTTTTTTGCTGCTCAAAGCGTATCTGGTGTGAACGTAGCATAACACAACAGTATGCCTCGACCTAAACCACTCCTCAGCACCAGGATGTTGAGGTACAATTACTGAGCTAGAGTTGCTACAGGACAGAACAGGAAATCCTTTAAAAATCAGTGTAAATGTTCAGCATGGATCGGTTTCAGTCGGTCACCAGTGTCGTTCTGCTCCTCGTCCCGCAGCAGCTTGTCGCAGAAGTTAGCCAAAGCCATGTACGTCTCTGTGACGCTGCCGGACTCCACAAAGTCCTGAGCAAAGGACTGAAGCTCCTCGTCAGCCTTTCTGCTTGCTTCACGCAGCAGCGTCAGGGCCTGCAGCTGCAATCCCACCTCCACCTCCTGCAATGAAACCATCAACGCAAAGAATTGGGAACATTTTCCAATTGCATTTACCTAAAAACTCTGCCCTTTTTTTTTTTTAAAGTTTGATAAAGACCAAATTGTTAGTACCTCAGTGTTTCCCCACAGGATTTTTTAGACTGTGGCGGGAGAGTCTCTGACAACTCGAGGGTTTTGCACATTTTTAAGCATGGTGTATCCCACTTAAAGGGGAATGCATTTTTTTTTTTTACATGGCCCCTTGATTTTACATTATTGCATCATGTTCTACTCACCCATGTGAGTTTTGAGCCGTTCTAAAGATACAGGTGCTGGTCAAAAAATTAGAATATCATGAAAAAGTAGATTGATTTCAGTAATTCCATTTAAAAAGTGAAACTTGTATATTATATTCATACATTACATACAAACTCATATATTTCAGATGTTTATTTTGTTTAATTTTGATGATTACAAATGACAACAAATGAAAATCTCAAATTCATCATATCAGAAAATTAGAATATTGTGAAAAGGTTCAAAATTGATGGCCCCTGGTGCCACACTCTAATCAGCTAATTAACTCAAGCCACCTGCAAAAGCCTTTAAATGGTCTTTCAGTCTAGTTCTATAGGCTACACAATCATGGGGAAGACTGCTGACTTGACAGTTGTCCAAAAGACGACCATCGACACCTTGCACAAGGAGGGCAAGACACAAAAGGTCATCGCTAAAGAGGCTGGCTGTTCACAGAGCTCAGTGTCCAAGCACATTAATAGAGAGGCGAAGGGAAGGAAAAGATGTGGTCGAAAAAAGTGTACAAGCAAGAGAGATAACCGCACCCTGGAGAGGATTGTGAAACAAAACCCATTCAAAAATGTGGGGGAGATTCACAAAGAGTGGACTGCAGCTGGAGTGAGTGCTTCAAGAACCACCACACACAGACGTATGAAAGACATGGGTTTCTGCTGTCGCATTCCTTGTGTCAAGCCACTCTTGAACCACAGACAGCGTCAGAAGCGTCTTGCCTGGGCTAAAGAGAAACAGGACTGGACTGCTGGTGAGTGGTCCAAAGTCATGTTCTCTGGTGAAAGTAAATTTTGCATTTCCTTTGGAAATCAAGGTCCCAGAGTCTGGAGGAAAAGAAGAGAGGCACTTCATCCACGTTGCTTGAAGTCCAGTGTAAAGTTTCCACAGTCAGTGATGGTTTGGGGTGCCATGTCATCTGCTGGTGTTGGTCCATTGTGTTTTCTGAGGTCCAGGGTCAACGCAGCCACATACCAGGAAGTTTTAGAGCACTTCATGCTTCCTGCAGCTGACCAACTTTTTGGAGATGCAGATTTCATTTTCCAACAGGACTTGGCACCTGCACACAGTGCCAAAGCTACCAGTACCTGGTTGAAGGACCATGGTATCCCTGTTCTTAATTGGCCAGCAAACTCTCCTGACCTTAACCCCATAGAAAATCTATGGGGTATTGTGAAGAAGAAGATGCAATACACCAGACCCAACAATTCAGAAGAGCTAAAAGCCACTATTAGAGCAACCTGGGCTATCATAACACCTGAGCAGTGCCACAGACTGATCGACTCCATGCCACGCCGCATTGCTGCAGTAATACAGGCCAAAGGAGGCCCAACTAAATACTGAGTGCTGTACATGCTCATACTTTTCATGTTCATACTTTTCAGTTGGCCAACATTTCTATAAATCCTTTGTTTTTATTGGTCTTCAGTAATATTCTAATTTTCTGATATGATGAATTTGAGATTTTCATTTGTTGTCATTTGTAATCATCAAAATTAAACAAAATAAACATCTGAAATATATGAGTTTGTATGTAATGTATGAATATAATATACAAGTTTCACTTTTTAAATGGAATTACTGAAATCAATCTACTTTTTCATGATATTCTAATTTTATGACCAGCACCTGTATATGGTTAGGTTATATCCAAGTAACTCCAAGTAAGTCTTCCTATGGGCAACGAGTTTAAGGCACAAACTAAACTGCTCTTAATTTATTTTTTATGGTACGCCAGCATTCATAACATGTAGGCGAATCACTGAGTGGCTCTGAATGCAGCACTGAGAGGAACCCCCGCAGAAGCAGGAGAGCGGGGTTGGGACGGGGGACGCGCCCCATGGCACCACCTGCTGCTGGAGGACAAGAGTAGGAACAATACGTGTTTTCACCTAAGAGTCTCCAAAAGCTGCCAGTGACACCAGGAAAGTCGCTAGTCGCTTTTTTGAAAAAGAGTCGCTGGAGGGGTCTGAAAAGTCGCTAAATATAGCAACAAAGTTGGCAACACTGTGCGGGCGAGCCGGGTAGCATTTTTATAAAGGAGGGCGGGATGCGCGCTTCGAAAAAAATATAACTGCCGCTTGGAGTGGGTCTCCCCACCACTGACCGTCTATGAGCGTGGCGCGCATTCTTCCTGTCGCTTGGTTACGGCCATAAACAATTTGTGTCTGTATGGCGCTGGGTTACGGGCGGTATGAAAGTACAGCTGTGGAATGGTCTGATAAACTGACAGATACTTTTGTTGTTGTTGTTTTTTTTCCCCTCTCTGTATGAGAGTGTGGCGGGCCGCCACAGTCTCATTCATTAATGGGAAACACTGGTACCTGTTCACCTTTAGATTACCTTTGGATTTTCAGAGGGAAATGCAACTCCAGCAAGTCTGACCACTCGTTCGATTTTCTCCGCTCCAAGTGTTCCCAGGACAGACGGACTTCTGCCTACAGCCGAGGCCAAGATGTGGAAAGACGTGCCCTGGAGTATCTTCTGCCGTCTGAATACTTTAGATGTGGCGCTCTGACAGTCCGCCTCCAGCTCCTCTGCACATGGAAAGAAGGATACATGAATCTTCACTCAAACGCACCTCATACGTCGGAAGATTATTAATGTTACCGAGTAGCGGTATGGTCTTCAGAATTGATCCGATCCGCTCCACAGGCCCCTGCCCCAAGCTGCGCTTGTGACCATAGCTGCTGAAGCAGTGGACCCAGCGCAGCAGCCAGCCTCTGTTGGTTTTGGCTTCCTTGTGAAGTTCCTTCAGCAGCTTGGTGGCCACTGGGAAATTTTTCTGAAGAGATTTAAAGCTGAAGATGAGTCTGAGAGGAAATGACAGCATGATAAACAGAACTGAGCCGCTTTACCTGCTGACAGGCGCTGTCAGCCATCTGTAGCTTCATGGTGAACTTGCAGTCGTTCACCATCGCCTCGATGTCGTCAGCTGGGTCTTGTGCGCAGTCCACCTCCATGCTGTCGTCGGGAGCCGAGGCCCGCAGCCGTTCTCTGATCTTGTCCAGAAAGAAACACCTGAAAAAACACAAAGCAACACCAGTCTGGTCTCTGCAGCTTCCAGGTCTTGTTCTGAACCCCGTCCTTACCGAGAGGTAATGATGTCATCCCATACGACCACTGGATCCATTTTGGTGTCGGGATACCGATCGGTCCAAGATCGGATGAGGCGCTTCAGAGAGCCTACTGACACTGATAAGATCAGATGAGATACAATAAGAGGCTTGAACTTGTCAAGAGTTATTAATCAGATGACATTTATTTCAGATTTTCAAAACAGCATGGTCTCACCGTCTCCTTTGATGAAGAGCAGGAAGTCCTGGATCTCCGTCAGAGCCTGCACCGACTGCAGGACGGTCAGCCGGCTTTGAGTCAGAAGTGTATCTACACTGGAGTAACTCTGTGGAATATGGAAAAAATACAAGTTAAATTGGAATATCTTTTAAATGTATTAATTTATTTAAGCTCCTAACTTAAAGGAAACAAATTAAAATGAGAGGTAATCCTCCCTATCATAAACCTGAGCATGGTGGAACACCAGCGTCCCTGATTACAGCAGCTTCAGTAAAACCTTTAAACTCACAGTCAACCCTATAGTCCAGAGAAAACACATTTAGCTACTGGAACATGTCTGGAGAGGATGAATTAAGGCCTTCAAACTCCAGGGGTTCAATCGTGACCGACTGTAAAGCACGGCGATGGTAGCGTCATACTAAGGGTTTTGAGCTTATGCTTTGCTGTAAAAAGGCCTAAATGATGAAAATGAAGAAACAATCCTAGAACAAAGACCACTATATATCTATCAATCTATCTAGACAGAGCAACAGATAGAGCGACAGATATAGAGTGACAGATAGAGCGACAGATAGAGCAACAGATAGTTAACCAAATATTTAGCCTAGCATATTTAGCCTCTACATAGATGAGATCAACTTCATAAACTCTGTTTCAAACACCCAGTTGTAGAAAATCTAAAGTTAAATCAAAGATTAATAGAAGATGTGCATCAATAAAAGCCAAAAGTATTACCTTCCTACCCCTGATCTACACTTCTGAGCGACACCTAGACGTTTTTATTCAACGAAAGGCTTGAGGCAAACCTCCATGAAGAGCTGCATGGCGTAGCTGGTGTAGTACTTGGCTCGGTCGTAGTCGTCCTGCAGGATGTAGAGCAGGCTGAGCTCCTGGCTGTGGCGGCTCTCCAGCAGCTTCTTGCGCTCCTCCGCCTTCATTGCTTGGTCTATGAAGCTGAGCAGAGTTTGGTTGATCTCACCGAGCTGCAGCTGCTTTAACATGCTGCGGATCATGTGCGGTAGGTACATTTCCTGACAGAAAACAGACGCATCTCAGACTCGACAGAGCAGTATAAAAGAACCAAAGAGATCATAAACATTTGGTGGAGAAAATCTATTTAAAATTATCCTGTTTAGTTTTTTGTTTCGATTTTGAGAAAATTTTTTATCAGCCTTGTTTACAGATAAAACCATCGGATGGCGAAACATTAAGAGATGAACTTAAAGCAGATATCTTTCAAGGCGGTTTTATTTAAGTTAAAAGTGGCTAAATCAGTTGCTAACATGTTGCTTATGCTATAAAGCAGAAGAAGAGAAACCGAACAGATTCACTGTAAGGGTTTATTTGCACTTTTTTTTATCATTTTCATGATTAAAAAGTGTGATAATATGAGCTGAAATTATGAACTTTCACTTCATATTGCTCATAATTACTGTACTTGTGCATTGAAATTGATGTTCCTCAGTTTTATTATTTAATGGTTGTTATTTATGATATCCAATTTGAATGTTTTTAATCCAGCAAGTATTCAGCAACTATAATTTTATCTTAAAATATCCATATATGTTCATAGATTGTTGTTCAACTACAACTCTTCACCTGAAGGCTAAAGGACACTCGTTTGAGGACAACAATGCCCATATTCTTGTTCAGGAAGAAAGACGGTTTGAGCGCCAGGTTAAGGAGGCCAACAGAGGTGGTCTTAGACATAACCTTTGACCCACCTGCAAGGCACCTTTAGGACCAATTCACAGAAGATTCACCTCCCATCCGCCCCACCTGACTGACACTTCAATGAAGTATGTGACCGAAACCAATCTGACAAGGGACTTAACAACCCATCAGGAACCCTTAACGACCATTTACACACGCAGGTGACCTCCGTAGACAATGCAGTGGGAGGGATCATGCCACCTTTTGCCCCATCTTGCACTACTCACCTTGATTGAATATAGATTTGCACTGTACTTATCCTGAACTTGCTGCTATTGCACTTCTGGTTAGACCTAAACTGCATTTCGTTGCCTTGTACCTGTACATGTGTAATGCAATAAAGTTGAATCTAATCTAATAAAAAGTACTCTCTTTAGATCATTTAATTAATCATGGAAAACTATCTAAGTAAACTAACAAAGTTCCATTAGCAACTGTTTAAACGTAAAAAGGAAAATTTATTGGACATTTACATGCATCGTAAAATGCTAATGATCAAAATCCATATTTCAATACTCAGAAATGCAACTTGGGAAGCTCTTAATAGCGTATTTACATTCACCGTAAACAAAAAACGGGTATTGTTCTTTCAGCAAAAAGCATGCTTTAATTTCTTTATACTCCAGATAATTCAATTAGTAAATTATGAAATTGATTGGTTATTCGGATTGTTTCAGCAATGCTGGAAAGAAATGTTTTGATCTTATGAACCAAGCTGACCTAAAATCATTTAAAAAAACATTACAAATCATCTGTTTTAATGTCAAAACTTTGACCACGCATTTTGAGTTGTTGAATTATTATTCCGCAATAAAAGATGATCTCCGTTTGTTTGGCTTGTTACCTGGTAGAGAGGTTCTGACCACATTTTCTCCAGGTTGGGTGGAGACGTTTCATCAATGTACACCGTGGAACAGTACTCAAGAGACTTCCACTCAGTGAGCTGGTTATACGCCTCCATGGCTGCAGTTTCCCAGAAATCCTTCTCAGACTCGGTGGGTTCGCCGTCCGGCCACTCCTCTGTGTTCAGCGCCTGCCAGGACCGAACACAGTCACCACCTTCACATCTGGGTCCAGTTTAAGTGTGTTAGAAACCCTGCAGGATAGAGCCCACAGCCGAGCTGCTGCTGAAGGCTCCTGTACCTCGTTGTAGAGTTTCACGGCTTCGGCGAAGTCTGTGTTGGCTTCGGCTTGAAGAGCGTTGCAGGTGATCGACTTTGTGCCAACTTTTCCGCCGAAGATTCCCCGCACAACATCGTAATCGTCCAGCGCCCTGTACAGTCTGCAAACAAACATCTCCCTCAGCTACTGGTAAAAATCCCTCTCATTATTTTAGTAACATAAGTGGCATAAAACTTGACTGCTTGGGTCCTCCCTGAGACCTCTGGTGGCGCACCATTTGAACTGTAAATCTGCAGCCTCACTCTAAAGTTAACTCCATGCTTACTTTGCCAGTTGGATCCATTTGTTTGTGTCTGGTGGGACTTCTCTGCGTCCTCGCGCCCGCTTGGCGGGACGTTCCTCTGGTTCGGCAGCATGCAGAAGACCCTCCTCCAGCAGCAGGATGCCAGACGGCTGCTGAAGACTCGCCAGGGAGGTGGAGCTAATGGCTGCCGGATCGAGCTGCTGCAGCTCCCTCTGCTGGTAACACATATCCTAAAGCAAGAAGAAGGTCAGCTCGTCAGGCCTTCAGTAAAAAAAAAAAAAACAGCTTATCCTCAGTTTTCTTCGATGTCTTGCTCTCACCTGCACGCATGCTATGAACGGAGGGAAGCAGAGCGTGCTCTTATTTAGAAACGTGTTCATGTTGCACTGCAGCTCCTCCATAATCCTTCCCTTTTCCTGCAGATCGTGGTTTTTATCCATTTCTTGGAGGATGCTGACAAAAAGGGAGCTGAAGAGTTGCTTGGCTAAAATTGGGTCTCTCTAAGGATTAGACAAAAACAGCTATCGTCAAAAAGAAGGATATTTATCTGAACATTTTCTTTTTATAGTCGTAGCAGTCTTACCTGAGCTAAAGCTTGAAGGGGAGCAATGAGGCTACTATAGGGGATCTGGATATCTGGGAAGTCGCCCACTCTGTAGTTCCGATACAGAGTCACCTGGGCCTCCTTTCGCAGCCTCTGATCAGCTTTTTCTTCCTGTGGGCGGGAGAAATCCAGCCAATATGACCCTTCAGGTGCTCAGCTAACACAGATAATAACACCAATATTGGTTTGACTTCAAGCTGCTTGGAGATCTCTAACCTTCTTCTGTCTCTGTTGCTGGATCTCTTTCTGGGCGAAACCCAGACTGACTTTCTCCTGGTCTTTCAGGAATCTGCGCCTCAGCCTCAGGATGTTGCTCCGCCGCTCGTTTTCAGCTGGCGAGAGGAAACGAATCCCGGCATTTAGGCAGTTTGCCCGAGTTTCACCTTTCCAGGACTCAAACAGTTATCCCTTTTAATGCATTCCTTTGAAACTAACCTCTGGTACGACTGTCCACCTCGTCTGTGGACGCAGTCAGGCGCCTCAGGCCGAAGCCTTCTCCGACGGGTCTTCTAGTCGCCGTCTGCCGATCCAACTTCTTATCAAACACGAGCAGTGAAGACAGAGACTCTGAGCTGGGGGAGTAATCTGCGAGGGTGTCCACGCTGCTGCCTGTAAGCCAGTTATAAGCTGTGCGGCGACCTGCGGAGGAAAAGGAACCTTGTTGAATGTCATACATATTGCTGAAACTGTAACTGGAGCATGTAACAATAGTACTTTCCCTCTGGGATTATTAAAGTATTTCTGATTCTGATTTAAAGCAACAGAAGACAAGCATACCTGGTGTTTGGGTTTGGCTGAACTCTAAAGTGGTCTGAGTGGCTCTCAGTTTCCCCTTCATGGCTCCAGACTGAGAAGCCCCTGCAGTCTCCGAGCCCTGAGAGCTTTGGGTTTCTACAAACATGGGGGTCATAACGGTGCTCCTGAACCGCCAGTTTGAATCAATTGCATAGTCCTGCAATGAAAACACACACACAAAAAAAAGAAGAGCAACAGCATCAGGAGAGGCTCTATTTGGAAACCCTAAAAGAAGTAGTAAGGAAGATGGCCGCCCACCTGGAAGGTGCACTCTGACAGGGGATAATCAAACATGTCCCTCTTGAAGTCGGGGCTCTGGCTTGTCATTTCCAGCAGCAGGTTGGTGGCCAAGCTGAGGAAGCAGCGCTCTATCTGGCAGGAGTAGAGGGAGCGGAGCACCGTTAGCATTCGCTCCAGGGTGGCAGTGGGGAGGCGCTTCTCCTGACTCCAGAAGTTACGGACAAAAAGCCTGGGAATGGTAATAATAATAATAATAAATCCAATTTGTACCGCACTTTTCATTAAGAAAAATCTCAAAGTGCTACACAGTGCAAATAGAACAGAATTTAAAGATCTGGGATTTTAAACACTTTTTCATCCGATAGTTTTTAATCAGTTGACTTCCTACTGAAGGCCTTGGTTTTCCTCCGATAGTCCTTGAAGTAACGTGTCTTTAGCTGTAGCCAAAATCTCCAGGGAGGTTTGATCTTTCATGCTTTCTTCATCTCTATAAAACACACGAAATACAGACCATTTTGTTCCTCACCTTTTAAAACATTAAAGAAGGCTAAACCATGTTCAAACCTTTCAGCATTACATTAGACTATAACTTTGGAAGCTCAACTTTTGTTGCATTTAAAATGGTGGCTGGAAATAAGTGATGAGGTTGCTGTTACACGGAATATAACGGACACTGCCCTGGAAGACTGACCCGTAGTTGTCCAGGATCCACATGAGGATTTCATACATCCTCTCTCTGCAAACAGGTGAAGGATGAGAGACGAAGGTCGTCACGGCTCCCAGCAGCTCCTGCAGCTCCACCGGAGTCAGGCGGGCCATAATCTTGTGGATGATGTCCAAACACACCCTCTGTCTCCCTTCATCCCTGAAAAATCCCACAGTATTTCTAAATGGCGGTACGTTCAATTGGCAGCAAGTGATGTTTTCAGTGTTGAAGGGAAGGAAGTGTGATTAAGAGAGAACCCAGGAATCCTTGCTTCCTCTTCAAGCTGTTTTTCAAACAGCTGCCCTGATTTTACCCAATCAAAACCATCTTAGTTCAAACTATTTAAAAATAAGTAAAAATGTCTTGAATTAAGTGTATTTACCCTTAATTTGAGCAGGTAAATGAGATGATCTGCCAATAGAATGAGCATTTTTACTCTTAAAATAAGTGTAAAATAAGATAATTGAATATTATGCGCTTGATATAAGAGACTGCAGTTGTTTTTTTTCTTATTCTAAATGTAAATAGCCTTATTCCATTGGCAAAGTGTATCACTTAACCGCTTAATTCAAGAAAAAATGCTCTTATTTAAAGAAAAATCAAACATACTTAGGCTTAAAGTTTTTGAATAGATGTTTACAGCTATATCTTTCAGCAGGTAGAATCTCTTCCAGTCATCGTCTAAAGGAGCCGCTCATGGAGGGAGATGATGGGACTCACCTGTGGCTCATCATCTGAATGAAGCCTGAGGTCTTCAACCACAGAAAGATGTCTGGAATCACGTCGGCTCGACTCAGCAAACACTCCAGGCAGTGGGTCTTTAAGATGCCGTGCAGCTTCGGGAGCAGGTTAAACACATGGTTGACGAACCTAAAGGAAACACACCCGTATGTATAAAGCCGTGGCTGTCTTAATGCTAAAGATGAAAGTCTGTGTTGGTTTATTCACCCACCGATCCATAAACGGTGGGAAGTGTTTGGACACTTTGTTCAAGCAGATGATGAACTTGTCATCTAAATCTTTCTTCTTCAAATTTGTAACCTTGGTTGCAGCGAGGTTGAGCAGTTCTTGCTGTTGCTGTGACCCAAAGGAAAACCAGTATAAACATTCCACTGCCTTATTCACAGGAATTACTAATCAAGCAAAGTAAGATACAAGTCAGTACATCACTGCTTTCCTGCATGCTCTTCAAAACCAGGCCAATTATTTCCGCAGCAGCCGAGTAGACCTCTTTATATCGGGTAAAAGACACGTTGTTGCTGAGGGACTGGATGTACCTGAAGGAGGCGAAGCAAAGAGAGGTCATCTGCACAGCAGCATTCAGGCAACACCACAAACACACACTGGAAACATTGAGCTGAAATACAAAAAAATAATTTGTCTTTATGTCTTCCTCTCAACTTAATTCCAAAGACGTTAAATAAGCAGATAAAATAAACACTGTGGTCGCATATTCCACCTGTCGTATTCTACTCCACAGGAAGCTTCGTAAGCGGGCAGGTTGTTGGCAAGAATGATCCCCAGCAGCTGGAGTCCCACAGAGTTGTCTTTGCTGTTTGGGTTGGTGCCACAAAATCGCTCATATATTAGACTAAAAGAGGGAATAAAGATTAAAAATGGTTAAAAGAAATCCCAATATTTTCATAAACTATGGAGATTATGTTTGACGCTTTCCAACACTGCAAAAAAAAAAAAAAAAAAAAAAAAAAAAAAAGTGGATTAATGATATCTTGTATTATTTTTTCTCTAAGCAAAACATTTCTCATAAAATAAAGTAAAAAAAAAAACATTTATGATATCCTGAACCCAGTCTTTTTTAAACTTTTTTAAAAGGTATTCTAGCTTATCTTCAGTTTTTCCTACAGAATCTGTTGAATCGATTTTGATTAATTGAATTAAATGATTCATTCATTTTTTTCTCTCATAAGTTTTATAGTGGGACTGCTTTCAAAAAGCAGCTTTGATTTCAATCATCCATTGTGGGAGGCGACCTTCATTTAAAGCCCCACGGAATTCAAGCTGTGAAACCTGCGGGTAAAATAACTTACGGTTATCGATATAACCATGGTTCTCTTTCATAGGATTTGTTTTCATGTCTCACTATGGGGAGAAAAACCGACTCCCGGAGAGCCAGACATGTCTGTTTGAGGCAACAACTGTTCTTTACAAATTTCTACACTAGTAGCTCTTTCTGGTTGCATACAATTCAATTCAGTTTATTTATATAGCGCCAATTCACAACACATGTTATCTCAAGGTACAGTTCAACCAGATCATCCAGTCAGATTGATTCAAAGTTTTCTATCTAAGGAAAACCAGTTGATTGCATTGACTCATTGACTCTTCAGCAATCCCTCACACTAAGCATGCTTGTAGCGACAGTGGAGAGGAAAAACTCCCTTTTAACAGGAAGAAAAATCCAGCAGAACCAGGCTCAGTGTGAGCAGCCATCTGCCGAGGCTGACTGGGGTTCAAGAAGGGGGTCTTCTGATGAAATTATGACACTCTGTTTGCTTGTTATTTAATGGAATGTATTATGGAAGCACTGTATTGTACATGTAAGCAATGGATGAACAAGGAGGAACCATAGATGTACATAACCAAGATCCAGTGAGAAATGGAAGCAAAAATAAATGAGATGCCAAGAGAGAAGAGACACCAGAACACAATTTGAATGCTGCTGTTCACTGAATCTGTGGAGGGGTTCCGATTTCACTGGAAAGTTGGTGAATGCATGAGTACATTTTTTTTTCCAGCAGTACTGATGCTATTGATAACAAGGTAGGCTCTTAGTTATAGTGATGGAGAAGTTTAGACAGTAAGGGATGCGTATTATATTAGTCATTGTTCAAATTTCTGACTGAGCTTGGTTCAAAAACATTTTCTGGCTTATAAAGGACTAAGTTAACTAAAATTTGTTGGGTATTGTTTTATCTAAGATAGATTTTGTTGTTCTTTTTGCCATAGGATGTAACCAATGCACCTTGTTTATATTGCAATCCAATTTAGTTCAGTAACGTTGATATGACTGTCGGCCATTCCATGATATTTTTTGACGACATTATGGGTCTAATATGGTCTTTGTGTGTTTTGTTTTTTTAAGCAAAGATTTCTAAAATATTATGTTGGAGAGGTTTTCTAAACTTAGCAAAAATAATTTCCATGAGTTCTGTTGTGGGCATTCTTGACAATCTTTCTAAAGCTTTTACTTTGTTTACAGCATGTAGAAATTTTATTGTGTTAACCAAAAAATAGAGATGAGAAGAGTCTAAAAAAATACCTAACCAACTAAGCGTCTCTTAAACTAATAAGAGTATCACTGACTGTCTTGTCATGGCTTGTGACGCACGCGTTCAGATGACATCTGTGTTACCTGTAAGGAACATGCAGGCAGTCTTTCCAGCATTCCACCAAAGTGCGAATGATTTCCAGGTTGTGGCGGAAAACGGCCCTTTTATTGTGGAAGCTGTTCTTCATAAGGAATTCCAGCAGCCGATTGGCCAGGACTTCATCTCTCGGGTTTCCCTGTGAAAGACACCACTAGTGAGATACTAAGCAATAGAATGAACATCCCAAAGCCTATCCATTAAGGAATTAACTATTTCCTTCCCTTTAATACTTTGGAAACAACTAAACATGAGCGTGTAGCTATATTTGGACAGAGGAATATTTAATACTTATTCAACTCTAACAGCACAGACAAACTCAAGTATTAAAGCCAAAAATGACAGAAATCACACAGGTAGCACATGAAGAGAACATCAGCAGTGTGAAGGCATGGCTTGTTTAAAGCTCAGTGTGACTGAAGGAGGTATGATCTGTGGTATTCAGATAAAATACTGCAATAGCTTAGGAGTTTGTAAAGGATTTAAAGAGGTCTAAAAATAGTTGCGCATCAGTCTTTCTTTCAATTTAGCGTTTAAAGTGGAAAACATGCTGAGGTCTCTCCAGTAAGTAATGCCCTGTTAACATGGCGGGATGATCATGCAGAAAGGACTCCGGTAAAGATAATCTCCAAATAATCCTGCTGTATGTGGAGTGTTAAGAGTTGTCTGCTCAGTAGGATGTCAAGAACGCTCTGACCTAGAATCAGGACACAACCTGTTTACGGTGACGTGTAGCTAAAAAAGAACGCAATAACTGAAAACAAAGTGGTGTGTATGACATCATCCGGGCGCCGGACTGGAGTCGTAACAGGCAGCCCAGGCCACAGGCGGCTACGATCTACCCCTTCTATTCGTTCGGCTAGCTAATCTGAATCGTTCAATTCCATTTGGAGAGCGAGATCATCTGTGGTAGTAGCACTAGACATCTTCCAGGCATGTGAGTAAAACTAGCAGCAGTTCAGAGGACAGGATGAATAAATGGTAGCCAGCGCGCGGATGACATCATACACCGCTTTGTTTTTAAAAGATATAAAAAAATATATAAAATTATATAAAAATATGTCATGGGGACCGTTATTTGCCTACATGTTATGAATGCTGGCATACCATAAAGAACAAATTCTGAACAGTTTAGTTTGTGCCTTCAAGTCGTTGCCCATAGGAAGACGTTACTTGGATATAACAGAATATCTTCAGAACAGCTCCAAATTACAGACTGACACGAGAGTGGATTTTCACTCCTGTACCGTCCCACTCCCACAGAAAAAAAATTGTGTCCTGTCCCGATCCCGGGCCAGAGAAGAAATCTAAATCCTGTCCTGTCCCACTCCTGGTGAAATTACTCCCACTCCCATCCCGCTCCCATTCAGAATGACTCCCGCTCCTGCACCACTCCCAATCTTGTTATTTTTGAGCGCGGGTGAAAAACTCAGAGCGGAATTTTTTTTAAATTTTTTTTGACTCGCATAATAGTGTAGGCTTCAAGAAAAAAACTAGAAAATGGCCGCGCCAGTACTGGATTTTTTTTCTTTCTATTATTTTATTTCTTGGCATCAATCCTAGTTTTTTTTTTTAGTTACTATTGGTTTGCTCCTGCTCCCGTCTGCTCCCGTTAATGTTCAATCCTGTACCGTCCCAATCACATGATCGTTACTAATACTGACTCCCATCCCACGTGAATCCCGTGACCTGTGGGATTCCCGAAAAAATGTCAGTCTCTACTCCAAATGACACAAAACTCATATGAGTGAGTAGAACATAAAATCAAAGGCCCAACGTAAAAAAAAAAAACGGTGTTCCCCTTTAAGATAATGGAACAAAAACAGATTTTAAGACAGACATTTTTTTTTTTTTAAATAGAAATGTTCTAACATTTGGGACAATATCGTCTGATAAAGACAACATTTATATACACGTTTAAGCCAGAACGATTTCAGGTACAAATATGACTTCCCTACGACTTTTAAATTACTCCTTATAAACCAGGCATTAGTTCAGAGAGTGGGAAAGGCAGCAAGATATTAAAAGAAGCCTACTCAAACCCTCAAGTATCAATGAGGGACCTACAGGAGTTTTTATTGACATCGATATGATAGCAAGCATAGCAAGAAAAAGCTGGGTTTTCAGTGGAAGAGGAAAAGATTAAAATAATTCTGTAAAAGGAAAACAAATGACCAGTTTGGAGGGTTTTGTAGAAAATAAACTCCAGACAAAGACCAAGACGAGTTAAACATAGACGGTTTATATGACAGAGGAAAGCTTGTCCTATCTTTTCTCCTCAGCTAGAAAAACATATTTATAATTAATAAAACTGGGGTGATTTTTGCTCTCTGTGATTGCATCCCTTTCATTTTAGAATAATAAAAACAACAATATAAAAACCTTTGTTCTTGCTAACCTTTGGGGTGACCAGACTGGTCCAGGACAGAACGGTGACCACAACATCCACCACCATGAAATGGATCCCCGTTCCTCCGTTGTTTCCAGACACAACGAGCTGCAGCAGGGGCCCCAGCCAGTGCTTGGCGTACGGCCGGAAAACCTGGAAAATAAAGAAATAGCCCACGGATGGTAAGCAGGTCTGGAGCTGCAGTGAAATGCAGAAGTATTCCCACCCCCTCAGCTCTTTCACAGGTTGTTACAACCAGAAAGTGTCCGGCATTGTTTTTTTTTTTTGTTTTTTTAAGAATTTTAGGTCATAGACCAACACAAAATACTGGAAATCTATAAAGTATTTAACAGTTTAAGTAAGCTGAAAAGGTTGCATTTTTCTCAGAGGTCTGAAACCTTTAAAATCCAACGAGCGATTTTGCATAGAGAACAGCTAAATAAAAGCTGTTTAGAGCCATAAATATGACACGATCTTTTAATGAAACACTAGTTATTATTTTGTTCCTGTAGTTCAGAAAACCAGAGCTGCTTCCACCTCCTCCGTGTTGATGATCAGCTTTGAGATGAAGAGTCGAATGTTCAGAGGCGTTGCCGGATTGGCCAGTTTTCCGTGCAGAAACTTCATCCACGGAGGAAGCTCATTCGGAGACATTCCCTGTTTCATAAAAACCAGAAGAGGTACACGCATCAAACAGGAAGTTATACACAGAGTGATATTGATTTTATGGCTAATTGGTGTGATCTGCTAATCAGGAAGGAGGTCGAAGGAAACGCAGCTGACCTGCTCCACTTTAGGTGTGATGCCGCTCCTCTGCATGTGTTGAATCAAAGCCGTCATGGTCGCCATGCATTCGTGCTGGTTCAGCTCATCCATCTCCAGATCCACCGCCCCATCCTGGGAAGGACTTTTATCCTCTGTTTCCTTTAAGCGGAGTTTCAAAAGAACCAGAGGGTGGGATTAGAACAGACCTATTTTAAAGTGGGGAACTTTAAATGTAATATCTATGCTGCTCCTAATGAGACGAGGAAAGCAGCAAACCTTTTTCACTACGGAGCGTTTCTGTCCCTCTGGGTTCTGTGAGCTAAAGGAGAAGCTTTGGACTCCTGTGGAGAAATCAAACTGACTCATCTCCTCACTGAGGCTGCTGTCGGCCATGTAGGACTGGGAGGAAAGATACACGGGCGCCTCTGTGAAAAACCAGCAAGGCATTTAATAATGTTGCACCAGGCTAGAATTGATGAACAGAAGGTAAATTTGGAACGGGATCAAGTTATACCTCCAGTTTCGTCACTAACTTCTTTTCGAATCATAAAATATTTCTTCTTCCTCTCAAGTGGGACCTAGAGAAAGATGGAGGAGATCTTCCATGAGGTTGGAGCTGCAGCTAATTGTGCAAACTCATTTGAAAAAGTACATACCTCGACTTCTATGGGAAAGTTGTAGCTGCGTCGAGCATCTATGATGTTTTCAAGAATAAACTGATTCTGGAGGAAGAAAAAAAAAGTTCAGAAAACTTCTTCAGGATCACAATTTAGCTTTTTACAGTTTTTGTTTTTAAAAATATCAAAAACATGTTATTTCTAAAAGTCCATGAATGAAAAAGGACTTCATAACACTAACCACACATTATTTACTTGATGTTAAAATGATTAAAAAAACAAAAGTCTAATTTTAGATTTTGCATGTATAATGTTAAATCTGCTGCACTTTTCAGACTTTTTTTTATTTATCTAGAATATTTTGTTAATTCCTTGTATTCAAATAAAGCAATTATGAAAACAAACATTCTAAAAGAATTATTGCAAGGGATCAGAAAGAAGAAAAATCTTTATTTTTTTGCCCTTTTTACCTAAAACAAAGAGATTAAATTACAGAAGCATCAGCAACAGAAAAAGCATCAAAATACACATTAAAACAAAAGTTAATAAAAGGAAACATCCGTTCTCCAAAATTGAAATACAGGTTTTGGTTTATTTTCTTCATATTCTTAAACTTTATAAATTGACAGCTATTTATAAACACATATAACAGACAGTTATTCAGCGCTTCAGCTTTTATTGACCTTTGAAATATAAATACGGATGTTGATTCTTTGCTCAGATTGTTCCATAATCTGATTCCTTTCACTGAAACACAGCGCTCCATCGTTTTGTTTGAAATTTAGCATTTTTTAAGATATTTTTTTGCTTTCTCTTTTTCAAAATCTTTTATGTAAGTTTATAAGTAATGTGTTTCCATCTGCTCTAAACATTGTTTGCATAATACTATACTATACTATGTTATTATATGTGTTCTAACCTGGGGCAGGAGGAGGTTGGGTATTTAACTTCAAAGAGGAAAGACACCAAACCTGCATGTTGATGTAATCATGGAGCAGCAAATGTGACTGGAAATCAGCTTTGCTGGAAAATGTGCAAACTGGGAGCTGTTTGCTAGAAACCAACATAACAGAACCTATTTAAATACTTAAACACACTTGTTGGATCCAGGTCCAGAGCAGCAATGTTCACTATAAGGCAATGAAACCACTCTTCTACCTTCAGACATACTGCTGACTAAAAGTGAAAGAAAAAAACTGATTGTGTCAATTATTGCAAGATTTGATAAATATTGGTATTGATTCAAAATACAGCAGACGGGACCTTAAATGCAAAATACATTTAAAGGCAAACAATTGTATGTCTCGTACCATGTCTGTTGGTTGTGCTGTTCTTTTTACATCTCGTTGCAGGTGATGAAGCTAGGCTTGTCCCGATCCGATACGTGGATCGGGACGCCGATATTGGCAAAAGAATGCGTATCGGCAAAGAATGTAAAAATGCCGATCCAGACTGCCGATCCAGTTTTTAAAAAAAAATCCGGTCCGTATTTTCCAGTTTCGCCGATTGAAACGATCCATTCCACTATTTTGCGCCAGTGTTCTCCAAATCCGGTCCGCATTTTCCAGAACACCTTCAACACACCCACAGGTCTTTTTGGGTCTGTCTCCCGGCCTAACCATTAAAACAGGTGAATTGGAAGATAGCGGGGAAAATGTCAGCCGTGTGGGATTATTTTATCCTGCACGATGTGTAGATGGAGACTAGGTGTGGAGGAGATTGGGGAGTATAAGGCATTTTTGTGTAATAGTTCACTGTTATTTGCACTGATTTTTTTTTTAAGCAGTGTCTTTTTTCAAGAGTAGAGTCCTGATTCTAAGTTAATAGAATATTTTCCACTCTTGTCTGTTTTGCATTTTTATTAAAACTTACAGTAATACTTGCACCTTTAACTGTTTACGGTTTTACTGTTCACTGTGCAATTTCAGATTGCTATTCATAATTTTGTCCAGTTTGTGTTTATCTCTTAATAAACAGGTAAGTTTGTTGTTACCAATCATTGTGTTTTATTCAATCTCACCTAATTCAGCTGGCTAGATGCTATCAAGAGTACTAAAACCCTTTTCAAAATGAGTCTTACAACTAAGGCTAAATACTTTAACTTAAACTTAAATGCATGTTTGAATAGGCTGGTATCGGCCAGTATCGGTATCGGATCGGAAGTGCAAAAACCTGGATCGGGACATCTCTAGATGAAGCAGACTGAAAATGTTTTATCATCATCTCCCTTTTATCTCTTCTTTCTTTCATCTTTTCTCCTTTTTTTCTGTTTTTCCTCTTCTGTTCTATTTACAATGCGGTGTCCATATAATCTATAAAACTCCCTGCATAATCATAATAAATTTATTTATTTTTTAGAGCTATACTAGGAGTGAGTATTGGCATGGGTGTTGCAATACGACACGTCCCAAAATACTTGGGTCACAATATGATATTATACTGCATGATATGATATTGTGATATTTTTTCCCAGCTATTAAAATCACATGTATAGAAAAAGCAAGTTCTGTATATTTTAATCAGAATCCATGTTGTTTGGGGTTTTAGTCAGTCCACATCTTCTACCGATTGCCTCAACTACAGATATGGCACTAAGAAAACGCATTTAGTGTCACAAACATTACGCAACCCTTTTTGGAAAAAAAAAGATAATTTTTATCAAATAAACATCTACCTCAGACTAGTCCTTTTTTTGAAGTAACCATTTTTCTATTTTAAAATTTTGTGTTTAAAATTAAGGAAAAAAAATTGCAATGCCAGATTAAGTCTATTTTCACTAGCTTGCTGTAATCTGTGGAATATTTTTCTAAAGACAACTTTGTCTCTTCTTGTAAAAAAGATCCTAAAATATATTTCTTCAACTCATGTGTCTTGAGGCATTTTAACCTTCTCATATTCATCCGCCTGCTTTAGAAGATCTCTTTTCAGAAGAGTTGAACATTTGCTCCAAACTAATCTGGATTTGAAATGATTTTCCTAGGCTTTCCTTGTATTCCGTTTCCATGGCAGCAGTACCTTCTCTGGCTTCTCACTGAAGAGGAAGCCCTGGTAGAATTTGGGTTCGCTGAAGCAGCAGCTGATGACGGCGATGGCGCAGTTGTACGCAGAACAGTGATAGCTTCTCCTGAGTTCCAGGAGCTGGGTCTCACCGGCCATGTTCTCTGTGAAGGCTTCGAAGCAGGACCTGGGTTCCGTAAAAAACAAACACTTTTCCAACTATTGTTAAATAAAGAAAAGCAGCGATACTGACAGAACATTTAGTTGAGGTGTACTTGATCAAGGTTTTAGACAACTCGTTTCCCTCCGTTTTTTCCAAGCGACAGTAGGCTTGATTGACGCGGGATTCCTTGGAGTAAACTTCGTCTTTAGGGAGGCGGGAGTACAGGAGCTCCATCAGCTTGTAGCAGCCGTTCTTCTTCTGCAGCTGAGTCTCAAATGCTGTTTCACTAGACTTAAATAAACAAATACCAACATTCAATTTTACCAACCACCTGATTGTGATCGTAACAAACAAATATTGATCAATTAAAAGTAATAATTTACTTAAATGCCAACGGCAGATATGAGGCGAACCTTTGTGAAACGACTTTGCAGGAAGGCAATTATATCAAAGACGTTTGTGACGAAGAAGTCGTTCAGGGCCTTGGTGCTGCAGTGGGAGGCCAAAGGCAGCAGAACCCTCTCCATCATGGCCTGCAGCATGGAGCTCGCCGGCACATCACCTCGCTGGATGACCTCATACACCGAGCACAGCAGCTGCAGCTGACGCTCGACGCTGGCTCTAAAAACACAGGGGATGATGTAACATGTCCACTACTTTTCAGACTGAAATTCCCAGAGTTCACAGTTCATTACACCCTCTTGTAAATATAAAACAGAAAGGGCTACTCTGAAATACACAGGTTAGATGTTAAATATGGAACCAGCAAAAGGAAGGAATGGAAGTAAGGACACTGAAGAAAGGGAAGGAGAGAAGGAAAAAATACATACGTGAAGAAGGAAGTCACTAAAAAAATTGCCAGGGAACAGAGAGAAAAAAGAAAGGACAATAGAGTGAGAGGAAAGAAAGCAGGCAGAAGGCAGGCAGGAAAGATGGACACAAAGATGGAGAGATAAATGGATATTAAGAGGCAGAGGTACAACAATACAGGAAGAGGAGGAAGGAAAGGAGGTGGAATGGAATCTATAATTAAAAAAAGAACAAAAATAAAGACTGGATAAGGAATAAAATCTAGAAATAAAAATGTTTTTTATATTTTATTCCATTGTGTTTTTTTTTCCTCCATTCTTATTCACTTTTCTCATACTTTTTTTTTAATTGCACATTAATCCTGATGGATCATTTCTATTTTACTTACTCACACATTGCCCTGGAGTTCCTCCTGCACATTTAAAACTTTTACCAACCTCCTAGCGATTCTGTGGAAGCAGGATTGAAACTGCTCCTCCATGATGTGCCTCCCATCCCGACACAGAACTCCCGCCATCAGTCGGAGCAGCAGAGGACTCTGGGAAAGCTCCAGGGCATCCAGCAACTGAAACACAGATGCCAACTTTTAAACTTTTTATTTCTCCCACATAGAAATTCACTTAGTTTGAGCCATCTGGTTGCTTTTATCATTATAACGTAAAGAAATAAACAAACATACCAATATAAATGGAATAAACTTACTACAGGGTTCCTACAGCATAAGGCAAGTTAAATTCAATTCTTTTTAAGACTTTTTAATGCCACTTGAAATAAAAATTTAAGACTAAATTTACAAGAAACACAAAAAAAACCTGCTTGCGACAACTTAACTCAAAAGTTTATTTTAACATAAACCACTACACTAATATTTCAAATTTTGAAAAGCTTCCCATACAGGAAGAAAGCTAAAAACACACAAATGACAGATATATTTAACAATTTTTAACTGAATTCACAAACTTTGTTTTAGCAGGGAACCAAACAAATCAGTTTTAAAGCCACAACATAACCAGTGCTAAGTCTTTTTTGCAGCCATTTTTCTTTGTATCGTTTTCTTAGTATGTTTGATTTGGTGATAAGTGGAGGCATTGCAGAGACAAGGGTGGAACAAAACAGAGAAATACCGGCTGTTTCTCAGTAACTCCATTTTGACGCTTTGTGTGTTGTGCTTCTCATGTGACGCCACTGCCTTAATTCCCATCGTTCCGAGCTTGAATCGCTTCTTGCACAAAATCCACTGAGCCTCATGTATGTTCCCTGGTTTTAGCCATGGAGAAAACTCTTGGCTGGAGCCAATTTTCGTTACATTTACACTTGCTCATATTTTCCAGACAAAAAGTAAATGGCGCATCTCCCAAATGTCCCGGCCGCAACAACCAATAATGGCTCGCCCTCTATTGGTTCCGTCGCGATAGCGGAACCAATAATGGCTCGCCATTTATTTTTTAAATAAAAAAAAAAAAAAAGGTCAATTTTAATGTTTTGTTTAAATTACAAAAATAAATCATAATAAAAATAATCCTATTTATGATGTTTTAAAAATTAAGACCTACGAAAAACTGATTTAAGACATTTTAATACCAATTAAGCCCTTAGTTTTATTTTGAATAATTCAATGCCTTTTAAGACTTTTTAAGGACCCGCGGGAACCCTGTTCTACCGATATATACATTCAAAACATCGATTTTTAAGGGTTAATGTCTCATTTTATTCGCCCAACATTGGCCTAAAATCTTGACTAAAAACATACTTTCAGATGTATTTTAAAGCAGTGGATAAGCAATAATCCCCCAACTGTAAAGCAGTTGTACCAAAAACGTATAAAGTTTAACCTCTAGAAATACCTACTGCACGGATGAACGGAGTATTTAACTGAGCCCCTCCAGAAAATGGCAAATGAGGGAAGATATGTTTTTGACTGGAAAGTCTCCTCTGGATGATCCTTGTTCTATTTGCTGCTTCTAATCTCTGGTTCTTCCTTTATCTTCATCTGCTTTGACTTTAATAGCCCATCTAATGTTGTTTATTTTGTTCTACTGAGTTTATAGCAATTTCCATGTCTTTTAAATTTGAATCTGACCAATTATTTCTATCTTATTTATGTATCCACTTTTATTAATGTTACCCATCCCATCTTATGTAATTTCCCTTTATTATTATTTATTTTTCACTATAAGGACAAGAGAAGGCTCAGCAAGTGTGCAGGATGATTGGTGGGACCATGGGGGTAGCTGTGGGTTTGGATGGTGGTTTTTGGTTTTCTGGCTTTGCTATCCATGTTACTATAGAGCACTTGCATGTTTTTGTTCTGTTTTGAAACTATCTCGCTTTCCCTCTGATTTGGTGATTTTATTCTATTTAAAAAAAAGCCCTTTTAATTGAAAAAAAGGAAAAAAATAATTCATCTTTACTGAATAAAACATGTTTAGAGGTTTTACATGTGAACAAAGTAAGGTAGTAAGTAAAATATCATGTAAAGTACACATAAACTGAAGAACAAAAGGCACAAACATTTTTACTCACCGTCTTGTAAGACTTAACTTTTACTTTAAAGCCATGTAGGGATTTAAAAGATAAAAATCTGCTAAATGATTACTGGTGTTTCTTTACTGCCTTTAAACTTTTACATGCATAGTGGTTTAATGTGAGAAATGGGGGAAAGCATAACTCCAAAAGTGGGAAATGTTTTTTTATAATGTTTCTTTGCATCTCTGTCTTCAGATGAGAGCAAAATATTTTTAATAAATATTTTAGAGAAACAAAAAACATAAATATATAAAGAAGAAGGATCCTAAACATTGAACCCTGTGCGGTTCGTTCAGATAAAAAGAAAGATGAACAAACATCCAGTAAAGCTTTTCACGGTATTAAAAATATTTTCTCCAAACTGTGGGCCCCACCTTTCGGATACAGTCCATGTAGTTGTTGCGATGAAGCGAGCCCTTGGCGAACTCATCAGACTGCATGGGGAAGTGGGAGGCCACCAGGCCGTCCAGAGCCTTCTGCAGCTCAGCTAGGGGCTCGTCTGGGAGCGTTGTGAAAAAAGGCAGCACCAACAGGGCCTGACTCTGAGCAGACAAGAAGATTTCAACAGAGTTTGCCTATATTAAAACCTGCTACAATGTAAACATTTGATACCTTAAGATTCAGAGGCAGATTCATGTCAACCAGGAGCAGAGTGAAGGTAGAAAACACTTGCTGGAATGCTTTGTGGTTCACATCAGAGCAAACAGAGGAGTCGATCTAATTAGAAAGAAGAGGAAGACGTTCATTAGGCTAAAGCTAAGCAGGCTGGATTCTATGATGATGTTTTTTTGTTTTTAATTTCACCTGCAGGAGCTTAGAGAGCAACAGGAGGGTGGCAGTTTTACTCTCTGAAGTAGCTGAGGGCCCGTCCCACCATGAATGCAGACTCATCCACCTCTTCAGAACTTCTTCCACCAGCTTCTGGCCCTGGGTTTTCCTTACAGAGCGTTCTCTAAAGCTGTGGTCCAGCATCCCGTTCAGCAACACGCTCACCTGAGGGACACACAGAACCAAACACTCAAAGCAGAACTGCAGGATGTCAAGTTAGCAGGGTTCCTAAGCTACTTCAGGTCACGTTTTCTACTGAATGTAACATAAAATACCATGCTGGGATTCTCAGAGGAGGCCTTCATGAGGCGCGGCACGGCGCTGTCCAGATTTTTAAGCAGCTCGCTGTTGATGGTCGTCTGGAAGAGGCTGTAGAAGTACTCGCCGTGGGAGAAGCTGAGAAAGTTGTGGCTGTGACCGCCTGATATCGGCACAGAAAGCATAATGGTGTTCAGCAGCAAATCCACCAGCTGCTCACTCTGTAGAAAACAAAACGCAGCTCAATTACTTTTTTAAATAATCTACGAATACAATTTTCTTGTATAGCAGTCAAGTTACTGTGAGCTAACATGCTCCACTGTTTCAGCGTCCCTGAGCTAAAAGACAATTAAAAAACAGACCTGTTGGCTTATAGAAAAGGCGAGCTGAAGCAGTCCATCCGCAAGTCTCCTGGTGTTTACGTCCAGGGATGGAAGCGCCTTCCTTTCTCCCCCAGGCGCTATGCCTTTATACACCGTCATCAGAAGGTTGGAGCCAAGAGATTTACTGTAGGCTGAATCCTTCAAGAGAAAAACGCTCAATATTGGATCAATTCTTCATCTATTTTTCAAATCTCTATATTTATTCTCTTGTAGCGTCTGCAGTGACACAGAAACCTTTTTCTTTTTTTTTTGCAGGCCAGTGCCAGCACAGATTATTTTGACCTCAGTCTAACCGATCCCTCTTACGTGCTGCTTACTTTTGAGCCGATTATGCTTCTTCTTTATGAGATAAAAATAAGGTTCCTGCGTTACACAAGCTTTGATTTAAACAGAAAGAAACTTTCATCAAAAGAAAAAGCATTATAAATGGATAGCAAATGGAGGAAGTGGCAAAGCATGGCTGCTGAATGCACTAATCAATCAGCAAACCAATGCTTGTATCGACGCCCTTATAAGAAAATAACACCAGCATTGGTCCAAATATCTATATCCTATCCTTAGAACAGAATCATAAAATTCTGCTCAACATTTGGCACCGGGCGGAGAATTTTTTATTATTTATTATGCTTTGCTAGGGCTGAGCGATAATTCAATAACGATATATATCGATCGATAGACGTGTGGAAAAAAAGAGGGTCGATAAAAGTTCGATAAAAAAGAAACGCAGTTTTCCTTCCTTCTCATTGTAGCCTAGCATGTAGGTTTATGCTAGTCACTGCTTCCTCCCAACCAATCACAATCGCGGACCCAGGCACGACGTCACAAAGCGCCGCCCTCTCAAACCACAACACAGAGCACATGAAGATGTCGCAGCAAGGAGAGGCGGAGGAAATTGTTCCAAAGAAGGGTTTTTGTAGTTCAGCAGTTTGGCAGTATTTCGGTCATGGCAAGTCGGACAAAAAACAAACCACAGTCATCTGGAAAATGTGTCGGGAACCAGTGAAAACCAGTCTGATAACGAAACCAACTTTTTTTTATCATCTCAGCCGCTCACAGCCGCAGGAGTACGAGCTGTGTAGGCCCCGGTGCGGCTCTCCTCCGAGGAATCTTCGGAAAATATATATATATTTTCAGTTCTGGGCAGTTTCCCACGTAGTTCTAACGATTGATCGGGCCAGAAACTTCAAAGTAATAACTCAGGTTAAAGCAGGAAACGGGGGCGGCGGTGGGGGGGCATTTATTTATTTGTTATATTTATTTTGGTCACATTCTGGTCACTTTAGTTTATTCTTTGTCAGTATTTAATAACATAACTCAGGTCTCTTAAGTTATTTTTCTTTAAAACAATTCTGTTATGGTTAAAAAAGTTGGTTAAATAAAGATTTAATTCGAAGTCTGTGTTTGTTTTTTATTAAAATTAAATCATTTAGCAATATTATAAAAAGTCCAGGCAGAGCTGCACATAAAATATGGTTTCAAATCTTTTCAATAATTATCGATATCGATCAATATGCATTTTTTTTTATCGATAAGCTTTTTTTCTATATCGCCCAGCCCTATGCTTTGCAAAGGTATCCAGACCAATTAAACAAGCAGCAATATGTTTATTTCTTAACTTTATGTAATAGACCAACACAAAGTGGTGCATAAATGTGAAATGGAAAAAAAAGATATCTCATTTTTTATTAACTTAAATGAAACTCTTTAACCTGATGGAAATGCTTGATCTAAACCAAATTGCGAGAGGAAGGTGAATTTCTATTCCAGTTTTAAGCGCTTCCTTGGACCAGATGAACTGTTCTTAAGGAGAACGAATCCCTTAACATAATGCTGCCACCACCATGCTTCCCAGTGGCATAAGATTTTTGCCTTACTTCTCTAACTTATGGGGAGTGGTGGCCTAGTGGTTAGAGCATAGAGCTTGGAATCCCGAGGTTCTGAGTTAGATTCCCACTCCCACAGCTTCCAATCTGGGTCCCTGAGGAAGACCCTTAACCCCACACTGCTCCCCAGGTGCCGCACAATGGCAGCCCACTGCTCCCCAAAGAGATGGGTTAAAAGCAGGTAAATTTCTCCAATGTGAGATCAATAAAGTTCAATTAAATTATAGCGTTTGAAATGTATGCTAAAAAGTGATATTTTTACCGCACTATGACTGAACCTCAGAGGCCCTCTGCATCAAAAAATAAATCAGATATTAATAAATTCAGCAGTATTTGATTTTATTAACGCTAGCTGAATACATTGTGTCACTATTTTCCTTACATTTTCTTTCAATCTAACTATTCTATACTATACTGTGCAGGTCTAACAATGCAACAAAATAAACAGTTCTTTATTTCTAAACAGTTCTTTATTTTGCAGTTCTTACCTGGCTGTCCAGAATGGAGCCGAGGAAACCAGCTTTGTGTATCTGCTTACAGGAAGAAAGCACCATTTCCATTCGGTCATGGCGGCTGAGAGTATCCGAGTGGTACAGTTCGACCTCACACAACTCCTCCACGCTACGATGGTCAGGGGGAAAAAAACAAAAAAAAAAAAACAAACAGAAGTTGAACTGATTGAACAGAACTGAATCCTCTACATAAAGGTGAAGTTTCACGATAGGAAAACAAACCTTTTACGGGAGATTTTCCTCCGCAGACTGCTCTCAAGGCGGCTGCGGTAAGGCGAGGCCATCAGAGCCTTGAGTAAAGGCACACACACCTCTGGTAGGTTTCTCATCACCTCCACATCCGCCATGTGGAACCCTACAGTGGACGGCTCACACACCACTGCCGCGGCTAGATCGAAAAACACCGAGCAGAACACCTCCTGTTCCAGCAGCTGCGAAAGAACATAAAAAATGGGTCATTTAGGACTTCTGATGAAGACTTTTCTTTGCTACAACAGAGTTCTACCTTCCAGGACTCCTGATCTCCTTTGACGAGAATCATGGAGGCGAACTCCAGCAGGCGAACTGTGATGGTGCATTTGCTGTAGTTGTACTGGTCCACCTCGCTCGGGCTGAAGTGAGTCGCCCTCTCGCCGAGAGTGAAGCAGCTCTCTGCAGCCGTCAATCCATGAGTCGCAAGTTCCGTAAGGAAGAAGTTTGTGGCTTTCAAGAAGCTAGATTTTTCCTTTGAGCCTTTGGAGTAAAGTAAAAAATATAAAGAAAATCATGAAAAACAAAAGAAAACTCAATAAAAAAGCTACACACTGTCCAATAATCATCCAAACAGAAATTACCGAGAAGGTGCTGAGGCTTTATGATGTGTAAGCTAATAAAGGTGTTGTAGTAGTCCAGAACAGCCAGTAGAAGGTCCATCCACTGCAGGCTGGCTCTGACGCTAAAAGGGCCCATCAGATCCCTGAGTGTCGGCTGGGAGAGGAGACCCCCGCCCTCCAACCGAGAGATCAGGAAATCAATGCCGTGATCCTTCAGCAGGCCATCTAACCACTGCGGCGGAGATTTCTTTCCTGATTCATACACACCAAATTAAAGTCAGACTCATAAAAAGATTAAATGTCCCCAACAGTTCAAAGGCTCTGGATCTCACCTGGGAGAAGCGGGATGAATTCGTAGAGGAGCTTCATGCATTTGTGGCGACACTCTGTCTGTGGTCGACCACACTGCTCCAGCAGCCAGACGACCATATCTGAAAGGCACAAGGTCCCGTCAGGTGGGAAACCCCTGGAGAAAAACACACATAGGACAGGTGATCAATAACCTATTCTTAAACATGGTCATTACATTTTTCATTTATGAGATTTTACCTCCTCATTTTCGCCTATTATGAGCCCTGCCACTTCTATGCGACTATAAGCTTAAAAATGACTGTAAACAGATGCATTATTGTCCTCAAAATTATTAATTTTTCAACGATAATCTACAGAACATCTACAGTGGTGCAGACTAGTAATAATTTTACTCAACAAAAAGGAAATAATTAAAAATAATTTTCCAATACATTTTGAAATATGATATACATTTAATACTTGTTATGACGCCAATGACATGAAAAGGATTTGCAAAAAGGTTGAAGTCATGTGAGACGAAGCTCAGGAGTAGCTTTGTGACAGTGCTGAGAAAAAAAAAGAAGTTTTTTTTTACCAATTAAAGGAACTATGGAGGATTTTCACAAATCTCCAGTTAAAAAAAAAAAATGTAACCGCTCCTGAGAGGGAACGCCTATTAAAGGCATGCGAGAGCGTGAACAAGCCCATTTCTCCTCATGCACGCTCTGTCTAAAACTTTATAGTGAACTCAGTTAACCCACCGTTCGGACAGATGATAACTGCTTTTTGCTCCCCATTGGTCACGTAACTCCTCCTTCCCTGCGTGATGCCTACGCCATCTTTGTTATTAGGCACCACTGTCAGGTAGCTGCAGTGGGCCGCTGTGACAGCAAATCCCATAATGCTTTGCGAGGAGAGCTCTCCGCAAAGGATATATCTGCCTCTTTATAGACGCTTTTTCTCTTACGACCTTTGGCCATTTTCAAAGAACCACAGCGAGGAATGTGAGCCTCCATAGCTCACCACAGATATACGCCTGAAAGTGTGCATGTGCATGTGATAAAAGATTGTCCTCTACACCTTTAAATATCTCTGATTTAAGCAAAAAATACATAAAGAGAAGCAAAACAAGGGTGAACATCACTCAGGCTTTTGGAACTCTAGGAAGTAAAGAGAGTCAGAAGCTGTAAAGAAGTTGCCCCTTTTCATCAAAACAGGTAAATAAAGGTTTAGCCGAACCTAAAAACTGGCAAAAAGTACAAATTGAGAGTGCCCTTTTACTGGCAGAGGAGTCAAAGTTGTAGCCAACACCTAATTCCTATGTGAATACCTTTAAGACTCAAACTCTAGTTCTTAAAGCCTGATGCCCTTCTACTATCTTATCTTAAACCCACCTGACATATGTAAAGGTCATTAGCAGAGTTCTGCAGAGCTTTAATGGCGCTAGTGAACCACTTTAGCCATATGATTTAGGTGTGTAGGACAAGAGACACATCTAAATGTTGCAAGGCACCAGAGTTTGAAATCTTTGCTTTACAGAAAGTTCAATAGCTCCTTTAAAAGCCACATTTCTGCAGTGTTACACTGTCTTGTGAAATCTTCATAAAAACAGCTGAAACGATTTCAGAAGCAAATCTAACAGATACAATTTGTCAATAAGTGTTGGTTTATTTAATATACTTCTAGAAGCTGTTTTGGTTGTTTTAGGTCAGAAGAATCTTAGAAAAAAAAAATAAAACAGTAATAGTGCTAGGCTTCCTATGGGATTTTCAATGCTAATAGCATTATGCTAACCACTAGCTCCAATAGCTCCATGCTAACCACTAGTTGTTTGCATCTTTTTAGTTGTAGTTCAGTGTAATTTAATAAATATTATGCAAGTTCTGTCTCAAGTATTAGCTTCTTTTGAGATGAAATAATGATCTTTAAGGCTAGTATAAATTTGGTGCATGTTAATGTTTGATAAACCCAGCTATGCTACTTGAGAGGATGTATGATCCAGAGCAGTCTGAGCTCCCATTAAACGAGAGAGCAACTGAGCTAAAAGTTATCAGGCAACAAAATGGATAGGACAGCAGGTCAGACTTATTTTTGGTTGTCTGAGGTAGGATTTAATCATGATGGGTGGATGTAGCCTTGTGCCGCTCAATGATTTCTCAATCTGGTGGTCCTGAGGAAGACATTTTTAGTTTACAACAGCACAGTTTGCTAGCTGCTTTAATGGGCACTAAAAGCTGATTTATACTTCAAAACCAGGTCCTCTGTGTAGGTGTCGTGGTGAACAAAAACACGTCCCTGCCCCCTCCGCAGACACTCTGTTACACCTCTTTCAAATTGTAGCTGAATGCAGACAGTGCCGCAGACAGGAGGCCATCTTGTTTTGTTTTGTTTTTATGACCAAAATTTCGGAAAACAACTCGTGAAGTTGGACGAGCTAGAAAAGCGAGATGCGCAACAATGCTGGGACTCTTTTTATTCTATTAGTGCATAGACGCTACCTTAAATAAGTAGACTCTAATGGAAATGTAAAAACAAGCCATCAGTGAATTCTGTATAATAGTTCCCCTTTTTAAGTCTAAAGCTGTTAGAGTGATGCATTTACAGATCACAAACCTTGGGATGCGTCTCTTTGCATTGTGTTGATTGAGACTGGCGGCTTTGTGTGTGATTATTCTCTTCAAATGGTCAATGGCACTGCAACTCTGCTTCACTGTACCTGCAGATTAGAGCAAAACAGACAGAGTTCCTTAATGTTTCACTTAAAAAAAAAAAATCCATATATTTGTATCAAATCCAGAAGTATGGCCAAGCTGAACTGTCTTATAAATATTATTTTGGTGCAAAAATATCTACATTCAGTTTATAAATCCTAAAACTAAAAAAGCAGGAATTGGCTTCTCCTAAATAGATCAAATCATTGGATAAAAATTTAAAGATCAAATGAAGCTTATAGTAAAATGACTCTCATCTTTAAAAGTTTGCACTTTTATTCAAATAAAAAAAATCCAGCTGATAATTTGCTAATTTAAAAACGTTCTATAGCCATTTTACTTTAGGGCTGCAACTAACGATTATTTTGCAAATCGATGAATCTGTTGATTATTAGTTTGATTAATCGATTACTAATGGTGTTAATGTTCCTTAAAGAAGATTTTTTTATTAAACTAAACCATGTGAAACTAAAACTTTTCCACTTCAGGAGTTCTGGATAGGGCAGATTTACAGATGAAAGCATTTAAAAAAAATCTTAAATGCAAAATGTTTACATATTTTTTTATAATTTTGATATAATTACTGCACTAAAGTGGTTGCTCTGTTAAAGGATAAAGGCATGTATTATTGTCTCTATGCTGCAGTTAACAATCAATCAATTACTAAATTAGTTGATGATTATTTCAATAATTAATTAATCACAATTAATCCAATTAATTGTTTCAGCCCTAGTTTACTTGTCCTCCTTAAATTCGTATTGAATTGTGTATTTTCCATTACATCTTTTTTAATAAGTCCATATTTTATGGAATCATTCATTGTTTCCCAGATCCTCATGTTTTTGGCACAGCAGGTATAATATAGAGGAGCTTATACCCATGGATCGCTCATCGGAGTGCGCCAGAGCCAGACTTTCAACAAATATGACGAGAACTTCAAAGACGAACTGTTCCACCAAGGAGCTTTCCTCTCTGAAATAAGGTTAAAAGGATGATTAACAATTAGCAGAAATTTCAATCTGCTTCAAATTCCCCTAAGAAAAACTGAACGAACAGCAAAAAAAAAAAAAAAAAACAACAAAAACAAAAAGTAAATATCTACCTGAACTGTCTGTAGATGCTGTTGAAAGCCAGGGCGGCTCCGAGCCTTTTAAACCCATTGGGGTGGAGAGCCAGGCTGTAAATGCGCTTAAACAGGGACTTCATGTTGGAGGGGCTCTTCTCCTGCTGCTTGGGGGTAGTTTGTTTAATTGACCACTTGACAAATTCCTCAATGCATCTCCCACAGAAGTCTCTGAGAGTGCTGTCCGTTGGGTCAATCACACCATCCTGAACACAAGCTTACTCAGCACGCTGCACATAAAACCAAGATAGAAATAAATGACAGTCCCAGAATCTGCTCACCAGAATGGCCTCTAGAACAGCTACTGTGTCTTGGCTCTCGAATTTCTTGTTGTTCGTGAACCAGTGGATCAGCTGCATGACCAGGGGTTCAAAGAGCTGCCTGGTTACCTGCAGAAGAAATCAAAAATCCTCATGAATCTTAAAACAAATGCTACGATATCCATTTTCTCATGACGTCCGCAGGTATTTTATGAAAGTCTTCCTACCTGGTCGACATCGCACGCCAGACGCAGCAACACAGGAAACAGCTTTTTGTGCAGCTTGTACATCGGAGGCAGACTGTTCTCCCCTTCCACCATCTGAGCACTCTTTCCCACCATGTAGACCACCAAGCAGTGGAGCATCTCACAGGCCGCCACCTGGGATGGCAAACGAGACAGTGAGGGTCCGTTTTTGGAATGCGTTGAGAGGGATTATCAATGCTGCGAGTAATGAAATACTTTGGTCTGTCTATCGCTTGTGGACAGAGCCAGCTCGCTGATTCGGGGCAGAAAGGGATCCAGGAAGATCACCGGCTTCATGTCGGTGAATGGCACGGCGAAGCTGAGTCTTTTCTCTGAATCCCAGGCCACAAATTTCTTCATCATTTCTTCAGATGAGACCACTGCATGGAAAAAAAATGTCCAAAATACAAAACTTAAGGATTAAAATGAAGGACGCTATGATGGTTAACTATAAATTAATCAATCTTAAATTGCAGAGAAAAAAAATCAAGCTTTTCATAAGATCACGTTTATTCAGTAGGGAGATGCTTTTCCTGTCAAATCATCATGAGTTTGCTAAACTCTGCTAGTATTTCAATAGGAACACATGCACAATTTTTTTTAATTTGATCATTTATCAGTTTTTATTCCATTAGCCTTAAATTAAATAATGATTTAGGATATTTCCTAATAGATAAGGTTTGAAATGTGGAACAATAAGACTTTGGATGGAGATTCTTATATACAAACTTAAAACCCAAGTATGAACCTTAATTCTGATTCCTGTAAACTCAAAGTTTGTTCACTGAGGGTATTGAAGCTTAAAAACATGGCTCCATATGTAGCATTTAGTCGCTCAACCGCTCTACTGCATGCTTGACTTATGCAGAGCTAAACTTTCATAGTTCTGTTAGTATTAAAAGTGGAATTGTATCTACTGTTTACAGCAAATGTAAAAAAAAAGAAGTTGCATAAAATATCAGGGGCTTCTATATAAATCTAAATGATTATAACTTTCAGGTATTCTGTTGGTTGAATAACTGAAATAATCGATTAAACACAAGAAATACGTGTTCCTGCTTATATGATTCAATAACTGAGGAGCAAAAAGGGTTTTTGAATTGAAAGGTTGGTTAATTTTTTTGGATATATAGTTTTCGATTATAATTATAATAAATATAAATTGCAGACCCAGTAATTAACTCGATTGAAAGTTTTAATGGCATCCCACCACTAATAAATATTTCTATGATTCATATTTTCTTCTAATATTGTTACAGGTTTATAAGAGACACAACATAAGATAAATAAATGTAGCATTCGTAGCTGCGAGGAAGACCGTAGATGTGTTTCCACTGTACCCAAATTATCATTTTTTCAACATTAAAGCTTTTCTCTTATGAAGAGTATTTATTTATTTTCTTTTATTTATTTATTTTTCACTTGCTGCATCTCCCAAACCTGCATTGACATCACACGTCACATGATCAACCACTGGATGTGGTCCTGGCAAAGATAATGATGAAAGAAAGTAGGAAAACGACAAAGGATCGTGTGTTCAAAATAGTTATTTTTTAAACAAACTCATTTATGTCTGATTTTAAAAGCATTTTTTCTTTAAAAGAAGAAAAAAAAAACTTTCAACAAAGTTTGATGCATATGGAAACTGAACAAATCAGTACGTCTTCACAGCTGAAATTTCTAATAGTTGTTAAACTCTGTACCCGTCACTAAGTTCCTGTTCAGCTTTCCTCCAAGATGACCGAGCAGCTTCACCACCCTGAGCCTCAGCAGGACCAGAGGAGCCTCCTCCTGCACAGAGAAATAATTAAAGGGCTTTTTGGTATGAGATTTTTCTTTTTCCAACATCAATTGACTCCTTTTCAGGCCATATGCTAAATAATTAATTAAATTCTGAAGCAGGAGGATGAATTGAGTCATGTCTTACCATAGAAAGCTGGTTGGATTTCTTCAGGAGTCTTCTCAACACTCTGTTGTAACCTCTTTCGTGTTTTGAAGACAAAGAAGACATCACCTCCCAGTTGCTTTCATCTTTATCTAACGTAAAAAGAATCGGATTTAGAGGACTTAATTTGACTTACAGCCCCACAGACAAGGGAGAAGAAACAGAAGCAGAAACCAGGCCTTAATTTCCCCCTCAGAGCTTCTTACCGCTGGAGGAGGTCGTTTTCAGGTAGCCGTCCAGGAGAGGCAGGATTTCTGCATAGCAAGGCTGCATGGTCTCCAGTGGGAGGTGGGAGGACCAGTCCTCCAGAGCGTCTAAGGCTGCGTTAGCCAGCGGGACGTGGCTTAGACCCAGCCTCAGAGCCGTCTGGAACCATTTAGAACAAAAAACATCATCTTCACACCAAGATGCCCAATAAACTGCTGGGTTTGAGTTATAGACCATGATATTAATAGATATAAAAGCAACCGGACGTTTTAATAATTTTTCCTTCACACATTACAGAGCTTCTGCTGTTAAACAATCCTTTTAAATGTATTTAGCTGTTTAAACACTAAAGATCAAACTTTAATAAACAAATATATTGATTTCAATAGCTGCATTTGCTTCTTCTAACAACCGTCATTAAGTATGAGTAAATTTTAAAATGCACCATGAAATAATGTAACAGAAAATGATTTAATAAAACAGCTAAAATTAAAATATTAGAAAACGAATTTAAAAAAGGGCAGAAAAATGAATAGACAAAAAAAATTAAGTCAAATTAAGTGAACAAATTAATTTGGAAAATAAATTGAGTTTTCAATTAATTGAACAAAAATAAAATGTAGAGAATAAATTTGATTAATAGCAAATGAAACATAATTCGTTACCTTTTAAATCCAATTTTCCTTTCATTTTTACTTCTCTATAAATCCTTTTTAAAAATAAATTAATCTAATTTTATCTCTAATTATTTTTTATGCAATGTATTCTTTTTTCTCACATACAGTACTTTTTGTGTGACTGAAATGTGCTTTATAAATAAATCTGACCCAACATTATTTTTGTTCATTCATCTCTTTTGTTCAGTGCTTTGGTCACTTCCCTGCTGTTTTTAAGTGCTTTATTAATAAAGTTAACTGGCCTGAATGCAAAAAAGCCGGTAAAATTAATATAAAACACATGAAACTTAAAGATCTAAAAAGCTTAGACAGAGAAAACACAGAAAAATGAGCAGATGGCTCATACGTTCTCAGCACGCCAGTTCTCCCAATGCTCAGTCACCTGAATCCATTGAACAATTGTAAGAAAGTCTTGCCTCTAGAGCCGGACAGTAGGCCTTCATGTCCAGAGCGATAATGTCGTGGTGCAACGATAGGACAAAAGTCAAGCACGAAGCCAGCAGCTCGTCCTTGTACTGCTTCATTCGGACACAAACCTGGAGAAAGAAACATGTTCTTAGTATGCATCTGGAAATCCACTTGACCAATCAAGAGCTCCAATAAGAGAAGATACCTCTTTCCCAAACTTTGAGAATAGAGCAAAGCAATCCCTTCTGACTGTGTCATCCTGACTGGATGCAGAGCTCCTCAGACGCACACCCTGATCAAAAACAGACCATTTGCTTTTTAAGTGAAAGCAGTTGAGTTTACCATTCAATGATGCTTATGTATCCCTTCTAAAGTTATCACCTGGTAGTACTTGATCTTCTTAGCGATCTTCATGGAGACTGCCAGCAGCTTGTAGAAGCCGCTGACCAGTGGATTCCTGATGGAGTGAAGGGTCAGTTCGTAGCTCAGGGGATACATCCAGCAGTGGAAATAGTCCAGGTGCTTGTTCAGCAGCAGCTCACTGCACAGGAAAAGTAAAAAGGTTTAGGAAATCAAATTACAAAGCTGTAGTTAAAGCAAACACCAGAGCTGCTGCTTTACCTGCAGAAGTCGACCAGATTGATAAAAGCAGTGAAGTCTTTGACTTTATTAGGCACCAGGTGAGCCGTGGGGTCGGATGATGGCAGGACGTGCGCTGCGTCGTCAGGAGCCTGACGGATACAGAGATTACCACAGAGGTTCTCCGTTCTGAGCATTACTTAGTGATGATGAAGTTACAGGAAAGCCTTACCTCCTCTCCTGTTGCTATTTTCTGAACGGATAAGTCCAACTTTTCCACAATGCGCAGAATTGATTTGACCAACTCTTCGTACAGAAGACGGCTCAAGGAGCCAAGAGCTGCGTTCTGACTTTCAAAAGCTCCGTCTAAAAATCCCGAATCCTGGAAGTGAAACAAAACCGAAGAGGAAGTTCTCCTGAATAAATCTTTGAAATTTTTAACCAAAAAAGAAAAATCCAGCCAATGCTGTCAAATCAGTAATATAAGCCCCATTTTCACTACCCCTCTGAAACCAATCCGTGCCGAGTTCAGAACGAGCTTGAATCGGTTAACCGTGCCGAGCTGGGTTATTTTACGCCTCACACTAGCACGGTTCCTCCCCTCCTACTGATGATCTACAGTACTACTGTTCTCTAGAATTGAAGGAGGGAATCAAGTAAATCAACATGGTGGTGCCCGTACCATTCAGGGAGTTTGGTTATATTTGTGATATTTCGTTTTTTGCGGAGAGTCAGGCGATGAAGGCAGCCTTTGGTGAATTTACTTGACAGAGTCAGCCTTTGGGAAGTGGATACGATAAACGATAGTCTAATCAGGGCTTAGAGACGCAGGAAACAACGACAGGAGTTGAGGTTCATCATGCTGCTAAGCAGAATCATCACTGGAAATCGTGTGGCACGGTAGGGAAGCTTGTATTTTTATGAATGTCTGAAAGCAAATATGCCCCCGCCCCATCCAGATACTTTGGTGCACCTCTTCCAAATTGTAGGCGACTGGAGACAGTGCCCAAGACAGGAGGCCTCTGATTGGTCAAATCTACATCCGCTCTACACTATCTGTATTTCCTGTTTGGTACCTTACTGGCTTGTTCTGTTTGTATGACCAGCATTGTGGAAAACGACTCGTGAAGATGGACCAGATGGATCCCCGCTTTTTTCCCCCTCATGTCCCTCCGTTGTCGCACAAACTTGCCCCGACTTCCTTACCGCCTCGGTCGTATCTCGACCCACATCTAGTTCGTGATTGTCCCTCTTGCGTTAACATAGCGCAGATCAAACTTCAATATTGGGCATAAATCAAAAATATCTGCAATAAGCTCACTGCGACACACTGCTGCGGGAGAATAACCAGCCCTTGAGATGATGTGGTCTGCTCATGCGCTCTTTGTTATCTGAGAACCGAGGCAGAACTGAACTGCGCTGAGCCCTACTGATGAACTAGTACCAGTTTAGTGCAGTTCGGTTGTGTCTGGAACGGTCCGGTTCAGCTTGCATGCATTTACACTCAACAGTTACCTTGGTTACCGTGCCCAGACTGATCTCGGCACAGTTTCAAAACCCACCTTAAGCTGATCGCAATCCAAGAGGACCTTAAAAAGGGGAAGGTAATTCGTACTGGAAGGAACTTTCCACTTTCCGGTCCGAACTTCTGAGGATTCAGAGGAGGTGTTCTACGGAAGGGAAAGGGGGGGGGAAGTAACTTCCTTTTTCATAAGAATGAACCGGACTGAATGGTGCATTAAGTTATTTTGTGTGAATCAGAGGTGAGCAGAATGACTGACCTCAGGAAGCAAGATGGGTTTTGAACAGACGCGAATCAAACCCTGATGCACTGAAATAGAAGAAGCAAGAATGAAAACAAAGACGCGGGCTCTCTGAAGCCTGCGTTACCTTTGTACACACTGATCATGGTCAAAATGCATCAATACCACACATCACTCCAAAAGACTAACTTGTAAACAGTCTGATTTGCTTAATGTTAAAGTAATAAGACTGTAATAAGATAAGTAAAAACAGGTACATCTTTTATGATCTTTTATGATCTGATTACAAATATCACAAAACATCAACATATAAAAAACACAAGTGCAAAGCCTTCATCTGATACATGAAGGAGAAGCAGGGATGTTCTAGACAGGACTAGTTGGGTTCTAGGTGCTTTACAGAGGTGTACAGTAGCGAAGTACAAATACGTGTCGTTACTGTACACGTTTTAGGTATCTATACTTTACTCCATTACTTATTTTTCTTCCTACTTCTGACTTCTACTCATTTTCACACAAGAATCTGTACTTTCTATTACTTACATTTTTAAAACAAACAATACTCGTTACTCTTGGCTTCGGTTTAATGTTTATATTTATTTCTCGTCATGTGCTCCATCCAATGCAGATCATTGGCGCCATCCACATCTAGTGAAAACTGGTGTAATTGGATGAGTCATATAACGCAAACACTCATTGGTTAGCTAAAGGAAATCATCAGAAGCAAGCAGGTATTCTTCAAACTGCAAACGCAAATTGTCTATGCAGTGCTACAATGTTGGATTCAGAAAAAGATGTTGAAATGTCTGAAAGGTCAGACACAGGCGAGAGCGTATCAGGAGATGGAGACCATCAAGACCTCCCTCATCCTTCACCCTATCTCAAAGAATTTTTTCGAAATAGTCTAAAAAATTGAGCTTTTAATTCATATAGTGGCATCTGCTTGTTTATTTTAAGGGTTACTTTATGATTTTATACTTTAAGTCGTTTTTTGGATCACATACTTTTTCACTTTTACTTGAGTAAAGAGGTCAAGTTGATACTTCAACTTTTACCAGAGTGTTTTTCAACTGTAGTATCTATACTTCTACTCAAGTAACAAATATGTGTACTTCTGACAACACTGATGCTGTATTCTCTTCATATCAAAGCTGAGGAGCAGGACTTCAGAAATAAGCAAAACAAAAAACCCATTCAGGCTGAGTTGAAGGATCGCCACGAGCTAAAACGAATGGACCGAAGGACAGATGGACAGATAGATGTTCTAATTGATAAATGTAAAAAAAAAAAAAATATTTTTTGATTTTAACAGTTAAAATCCAAATCACACTGATGTTTTCTGATGTCAGCTAACAGATACAAATATTTTGTGGCTCAACATACCCACAGAGCTGATAAAACTCCACAGCACCGGTCCCTTAGAGGCCACAGCCACAAACACCTTCAGGATGGACCTGCCGCAGGCAAACTGCATCCTCTCACTGTACTGAGGGAAGCTGTCGATCTGCACCACAAGGAGGCGCTCCAGCAGGGGAGTATACACCTCGGGAATCTGAAAACACAAGGCAGAAGTTCATACCAGCTAAAAGTTCCCTCTCCGTGCGAAGCATCCTCCTCTCTTCACCTTGTCCAGATGAATAAGGACGCACGCTATGGAGTCCAGGAAGCTCGGCAGCTGGTAGAAGCTGTCGTCCTCCCCGTCAGACTCGGTCAGATACATCTGCTTACAGCGCTGAATTAACTCCGTGTACATCAGGTCCACATCTTGAGGGCACACCTTCTTGCACGGCTGCAAATTAAAGTCACACTCATACACATCTGTTGCCAGGTAAAACGTAAACTAAAAATGAAAAGGGGCATTAAAAATTATAGGTCTTAATTAACATACAGCTGCAAAAAAGCCGTATCCCCGTATGGCAATAGACAGCTCCTTGTGTGTAGAGTCCATGGTTTTAATGATGCCACAGAACTTCTGCATGAAGAACTTCAACTTGCTCTTGTGCTCTTCGATGTTGTCTGCCACCAATAAGGCAATCTGGGAGAAATTCAGCAATAGAATAACAAGAGAAAATATGTTTAGACAAGTTGGAAGCAGGTGAATAATACGGGGATCCGGCTCGTTTTTGTTTTTCAGGACCTGCTTAAGAAAAGCTTCCAGAGCGCTGTAACTCGTCTTCTTCATTTCGGCGTTGATGTGTCCGCAGAGCTTACACATGGTCTCGAACATGGGCCTGTAGTGGTCCATCAGGCAGCTGCTGAACTGGGACGCATGTCTGGCAAACAAGCGAAGCCCGGCTGTCGAAGAAACACACGCTCACAGATATTCTGCTACTACTTAATAATGCTCAGTCAGTTTTAGTTACTGTTTCACTTTTAAACCAAATAGGAGAGACTCACCAAATGTGACGGCATAACGATTCATCTCCATCTGCAAAAAAAAAAACACAAAAAAAAATGATTTTTAACTGTACATCATGCTTTGTAAAAGTATTCACACCCTGGAATTTTCTTAAATCAAAGCTACAATAATTAGCAACTTTACTGTTTTTTAATTGTTAAATCTAATCGGAGCTGTACACGTCAAGAGGTGAATAAGAGATAAAAGCTGTGTGCGAATCAGTTCATTAATTTAGTGCAACAATTTCAGACACCAGATTAAAAACTAAGTTCACATTTGATCTGGGAATGGTTGCGTAGCGGTTAGGGCATAGAGCTTGGAATCCTGAGGTTCTGAGTTCAACACCCAATACCACAGACTGCCACTCTTGCTCCCTGAGCAAGACCCTTAACCCCACACTGCTCCCCAGGTGCAAATAAAAAGGAAATGTATCCTTTTGTAACCCAAGGTAGACTCGTCGTCAGCTTTCAGCGAGTCATAGATGTGGTGAAAAGGAGCAGGTCAGTGCTCTTGTCTTTTTTGCTCTGACTGCATACAGGGCCTTCAGGACGAGGCAGCTGCCTGTGAGACGACATTTAGGGAAGCAGTGATAGGGCAGCTCTAGCTGCTATAGTGAGACGCGTATGGTGCTTTCACGCGATGTTGCTAAACTGACTAAAAACTAGTGTTGCACCGACACCGATACCAGTATCGGATGGGGCCCCGATACTGCCCTAAAATGGTGGTATCGGTATTGGCGAGTACCAACAAATAGGGCACCGATGCCATTTTGCCATACGTTTCTTCAACTATTGTCACCCACTCCTGGTAGACAATAAAAAGTTCTACTGGATTCACTTTGTATTAGATTTTTTCCTGCTTCACAAAGGTAGGCAGCAGCTTGACGAAGCCATGATGGCAATTATTTTACATTATTATGATATCGGTATCGGCCGATACTGCACAGCCAGATATCGGTATCGGGGCCAAAAGATGGCATCGTCACAAAATTTGTACCGAAAATAAAAGCTGCTAAAAGGGTTTTAAAAGTCTCCGAATGTAGTGCTAAATTTGCTAAGTTGGCTCCACAGAACTCTCACCTCTAGTTTCCCCTTACTACTGAAATCTATCCATCTGACCCTGATCAGTGTTGGTCAGCCTAGAAGAATGTCATTAAATGACACTGACATCTCCAAATGTGAAAAAGGTCAAACAGTGTAACAAACAGATAACGTGTATTAATCCAGTCCATTCACCTGGGGAGTGATGGCCTTTAGGGCATACTGAAAGATCTCTTTGGATGTCGCTGGGTCTGCAGGTGAGAGCAGAAGCAGTTTGGAGCCTTTTATTATCAGGAAGTAATCAGACACAACACAAATACGTATGATATATTATCACCCACCTTCTTCCATGGTTTTAGTGAAGTTAACCATCAGGGCAGTTACGCCTCGCAGACATCCGGCCACAACAAAAAGCCTTGGTTCTTTTGTTGAGGACGTCATCTGAAGGAGGACAAACAAAGACTAAATCAGGACAGTAGCGTAGCGAGCTAACAGCAGATAGCAGCTTTCATTCAAGCCTTATTTTAGTCAGTATGTCTGAGCATTAGACTGGTGGACAGTCAAGATTACAGCAATCAGGCTCACACACTCCTTATCTTTTTTTTTGTGGTTTCGGCGCTAAATTAAAGGCAGACGAATGCAATCGCTAAAACCAGACCTGCTCTTTCAGCTCCCCAAGATAGGCCTTGTATAGCTTGTCAGAGTTGTTGACCATTTCGCTGGGATGAACCTCCGCCAAGACGCCTAACAACTCGTAGATTTTGCCAAGGACTGAGGAAAGAAAAAAAAAAAGACAGCATTACAGACGTGTTTTTGAAGCAGATTTAAAGCAAGAAAAAAAAAGGAATACTCACCCGAGTCGGGTAACTTGCTCTTCTGCCAGAGCTCGCCATAAAATCTGTTAAAAATGTCGCCAATTTTAAACTCCGCAGCCACACTGGAGGCCTTGGTTGTTTGAAGAACCTGAGGAGAGGTTAGAGAATTTTTGGGGTTACAGTGCTGCATAAAGGGGATAATTTCCACACTTAGATGTTTTAGATTAGATCAAATTCAGTAAATAAAAATAAATACATGTTTTATCAAAGGATTTAGTTATGGAAAAAAACAAAAACAACCTGGGACTATGGGAATATTTAATTTGCTTATTTTTTTTACTTTGTTCAAATGTAAGTAAAAAAATCTCAGCCTTGAAGCAATCTCTTTTACATCCCTGCGGAAGACATTTTGTCAACTTTTCATTTCTGCAACTTTTTTGAAACATGCGGCTTATAAGAAGGTGCAGCTTCTCTGTGGATTTTCCTAACCTCCAGAGGGGGGAGTCAAAGTTTGAAATGAAAGAATCAGGGGCTAATTTTCATTTAACATAAGAACATGCTGGCAGTTGGCACGATAGAGAACAAATGTCCCGAATTTACCCATTTGCTTTATTAAAGCTGCTGAACCAATTAAGAGACTGGCCTCAACTCCTGCAGACCTGAAATCAAGAGCTGATGAAGCTCCATGTTTTCAAAAAACTGGTTTATAGTGAGGTGCGCTCTATAGTCCAGAAAATATGGTAGTTCCATCAATAAGGGCACCTATTGCCTCAACCAAAGTTGACCAGGTTTCTGTTAGTTTTAGGCCATAGATAGAGGGAAGCACATCTTCCCTAAAGGACAGCATCTGTCCTGTTAGTTCATTGAATATTTTTCCTAATGTTTTGAAGATAATCAGCAGGTTTGCTCAGCAGAGGCTTTCATAACAGATTAAATTAAGCCCAGTTTCTTTGTTGTTGTTCCATCTTGAACACTGACTTTAAATTTATAGTGGAGGATTTTCACAATTTTTTAAAAGATCCGCCCTCTCCACTTAAAAAAAAACATTAAACAGGCACAACCCTGTTGCGGTTCTCAAAGCTCATACAAGCTTACTGTGCCTGAATGTCTGCCCTAACTCCTAAATCCCTCAATCGCTATATAGAGGACTTTATAGTGAACTCAGTTAACTGACCGTTTGGACAGATGATCACTACCTTTTGCTCCCCATTGGTCATCTAACTCCTCCTCTACTGCTCGGTGCCTGCACCATCTTTTCTATAAGTGGCTGCTGTTGGGTAGCGACATCGGGCCCCTGTGACAGCAAATCCCATAATGCTTTGCAAGGAGAGCTCTCTGCGCACTCCAGGATATATCTCACACGTCTGAGGCCTTTTTTTGCATCTCAGACACTTGGCAGACACTTTCTCCTAGGGGTGGGTATTGCCAAAGAAGTCACGATTCGATTCGAATCACGATTCATATGCCACGATGCGATTCTATCACGATGCATCACGATACTTGAATTATTGCGATGCATTGCAATATTTTCTCCTCCATGTTTTGTTTTTGGATGACTCTGCACAGTATCCCGCGGCCGGAAATGCTTGTGACACAAGGCAGCGTGCGTCAACACATTTGCAGCGACATCTACTGGACTGGAAGTTGTATTACACTTGTTTTTGGCTGATGTTTGCCAACCATTCATGCAATTTTATTTATTTATTTTTTTAAATTAATAATCGATACTTGGCGTCAAGAATCGATGCAGTATATCACCAAAATTAGAATCACGATGCATCATCATGACGATTATTTTGCACACCCCTACTTTCTCCTCTTACAAACCCTGGCAATTTTCAAAGAACCACAGTGAGGAAGGTGAGCTTCAATGACCGCAGCTCGCCACAGATATTGAAAGTGCGCATTAACAGAAAAAGATAGCTAACGGGACGAGCACGTAGGACGGCCTACGTTAACATATCACCAAAACGATTGACAACTAGGATGACCACTTGTTTAGATGGTCCACCCGGAAAAAAATGATCGCCCTTGATACCTTTAACCTAGGCTGGCAGTGCTTTAGATGTTCTGAATGCTGGACACTTCTTGGAAGGTTCCGGCTTTTCCCCAGTTGTTCATTGGAGCTCTTACTCTGTTTACTTTCAACCAGATGTTTTAGCCCACATCATGTTGACAGCAGGGTGCCATTTATGTTGATTTTATATATTCTAAAGGTCAGTCAGAAAACAGTAACCCTGCCTGTAGGCTGACATTTTTGCGATATTTGGGTTTTAAATAACTTAATGATGAACCACTTAAATTTAATGAAGCAGTACTTGTGCAGATATTGACAATAAGACCCCCCTGGCGGATCAGTTGATGGTGTGCCTAGAGCTGAGTGAGGTTGCTGTTATAACAAAGAAAACCATTCACTGCTACAGCACAGTGAACTATTGAAGAATAATGCTTAACAATTGTTGGTTTTGTATATGTTACAGAAATAATAGATATAAAAAAAATACATTTAGATCTGATTCACTTTTTATAATAGAAACTTCACTATTGTCTTATCGGCTTTATTTGTACCCCCTGGAACTCAATGATACAAAGCTATTGTTGTTTTATGTGGAATGCTTAAGTAGAAACATTATATTGGTGCTGTTGTGCAGTCGGGCACCGGATTTAACACCATGTATGAACTACCTATAAAGTAAGGAGGGAAAATATATTTTACAAAGAGATAGGTTGGCTTGGGTTAACTTTGTTATCTAAGTGTGTCTGATTATCTAAAACAGTTGAGTGTGAGAAAAAAAGAAATCTTTAGGAGGGGAAATACTTCTTAAAGTTATTTTATGTGGTTGAAAAGGTGAAAACTAATAGTTAAGTCAGGTTTAATCATCAATAATTTCAAATATGGGACAAAAAGAAAACCTTTATTAGCAGCTCCAACACCGGGGTCCTGCATTTGGCAACTTTATCCTTCGAATATGCAGTGATGCACACGTTCTACGTCATGAGGGAAGAAAATAATGAATCCGTAAGTCGTTGTGACATTAAATAGCATTCAACTAATATCCTCTTTGGCAAATCTTACTCTTATGTCCGTGGCGTAGGTTTTCTCCCATCCTTTGACTCTCGGTGACACCTTGTCCATAAATTTCTCTAAAAACTGTAGAATTTCAACCCTGGTGTCCCGCAACTGGAAAAACAAGACCAGTTTTAATCAAATTGATTAATTGAATTAATTAATTCAGTTTATTTCTATAGCGCAAATTCACAACACATGTCATCTTAGGTCATATTACAGTTCACCAGATCATCCAGTCAAATTGATTCAAAGTTTTCTATCTAAGGAAAACCAGTTGATTGCATCGACTTATTGACTCGAATGCAATCCCTCACACTAAGCATGCATGTAGCGACAGAGGAGAGGAAAAACTCCCTTTTAACAGGAAGAAACCTCCAGCAGAACCAGGCTCAGTGTGAGCGGCCATCTGCCGAGGCCTACTGGGGTTCAAGGAGACAGAAGCAGGTATTCAAAAACGCGGCCCGGTCTGGGAAACACACAGCCAGGCAGACAAGCTCCAATGTCAGAGGATGAAGAGAGCACATCCAGCCAGTCAGTCAGAGAAACAGGACTACATTGAAAAAAACAGGATGATCTCCAAGATCTATAAACAAAGGTGTTGATGGCAGCAGCACAGCTGATATTTCTCTCCAGGATGGTGTCACAGCCAAACAAGAAGAGTTTGGAACAAACATTTTAGATTCTCTTTGTGATTGTTTAATGTGAGATTAGTGCAAAATGCTCACCTCATCCAATGCCAGGGACTTCCTGAGGAAGCAGAGCAGCCCATAGTCTTTGGAGAACAGCAGAGATGCCTGTAAAGCTTTATTAGATCAGGAAGGTTAATGAAGGTTTCAGTGCTTCTCTTAACAGCATGCAAGCTGTTTAATTTGAGCTATAAAAGTGATTGTAAGTTATAACCAATTAATTTACTTAATGAGCTTTTTTGGTTAAAAATTAAAAACGACTGGAAGAGGTGCTTTGCATTGTTTGAACTCCTTTGACTCTTTGTTTTGCTCTAAAGCAACATGGTAGGGTTATAGAAATATTTTCTGTACGCCGAACTGACAGCCATCCCTTGTTTGTTAACAGGGCGCCATATTTATCTTTTATGACCATCGCTGTTAAAAGCTTAGGCACGTTGGAGTTCAACCAACAAGTTTCTGAATGCAGTTCGGCGCCGCCGTTACCCTTACCCAGTTCATTCTCGGTGGACGTTAGCATGCACTCCTGTCCCAAATCACCGATTATATCGTGACATTTCAGCGCTGCAGAGCGGGTGTCTTCGTCTGAAAGTAATTCGTGAAGTTTGAGAAGAAGCCCCTGAATTCCTGAGGCCGGGCTGCTTAGTGAAGACATGTTTACTGCAGGTCTACAGCAGGTACCGGTTCAAACTGAAACAGGCTGCTACAGGCTCCGCATCACTAACAGAGAAAAGTCACTGGGAGAGCGGCAACATCGGCCGCGAGGGGAGTGAGCGGCGGCGGCGGCGCTCAAAGCACACATAAGGAAGACCGAGAACAGGAAGTCACCTGGATGACTTTCACAATAAAAGCGGCGGAAAAATATTTTCTGACACCGGCGGAGCTTTTAGGTTTATTGCTTCAGTATTACAACTTCACGCTGTTCTAATTGTTGTTGATTTAAAGAGAAAAAACGCCGGATTCAAACATCTTCGAATTAAAAGACACAATGGACAAAACTTTTTAGTGTCCTCTTTTATTTTTTGCTTAATTTAATTTAATTGACTTTACTTCCATTAAGTTACTTTATAATAGGCCCATCTTTATATTAAGACCATGATTTGATAATAACAACCATTAAGCTGGTGTTAAATATTATATTGATAAAGCTTACAGTTTAATGAGTAACATTACCGTAATTAACAGAAATTACGGCTTATAAGCATCATTCTACATATAATTATTCTATATAAGGTGATTACTTCATGAACCGAGTGTGTGTTTAAATGTATCTATTTTGTCTGACTTAACTTATAGAATTTACTCAAATAAATTGCAAGTCTTAATTTAGTTGACATATTTTATTGATAAAATCATGCTTTAATTATTTTTGCTTATTTCATATCCACTAAATTCAATTCAATTCAGTTTATTTCTATAGCGCCAATTCACAACACATGTCATCTCAAGGCACTTTACAGTTCACCAGATCATACAGTCAAATTGATTCAAAGTTTTCCATCTAAGGAAAACCAGTTGATTGCATCGACTCATTGACTCAAAGGCAATCCCTCACACTAAGCATGCATGTAGCGACAGTGAAGAGGAAAAACTCCCTTTTAACAGGAGGAAACCTCCAGCAGAACCAGGCTCAGTGTGAGCGGCCATCTGCCGAGGCCGACTGGGGTTCAAGGAGACAGAAGCAGAGATACAGAAAGCAGCTGTAAAAGACGGCTTGGTCCAGGAATAAGCCTAAGCCTATAGCAGCATAACTATAGAGATAGCTTAGGATAACCTGAGCACCTCTAACTATAAGTTTTATCAAAAAGGAAAGTTTTAAACCTAAACTTAAAAGTAGACAGGGTGTCCTCCTCACGGACTAAAACTGGTAGTTGCTTATCCTAACTCACTAACTCTACCTCCTTTGCTTAATGTACTTTTTTTTCTGAATGTCCTTTCTAACTTACTTTACCTAGTTCCATCCATCCATCCATCCATCCATCCATCCATCCATCCATCCATCCATCCATCCATCCATCCATCCATCCATCCATCCATCCATCCATCCATCCATCCATCCAACCAGTCTGGATATTCCCAGGATCCTATATAATTAACTTAGAATTAATCTTATTAATTGACTTATTTGTATAAACTTATTAATTGACTTATATTACTTACTTTACTATGATTACTCAGTGTACTTCGTAAACATTCTGAACTTAGGATATACTCCCTTTATCTTTAACAGTACAATAATAGTACTTAATTTATTAAAATGTAATATACTTCCCTTTTTTATCGTCTTATCTTATCTAATTTAGTCTCCTAACTTTCTTCATGTTACCAGTATTATTCTGGATACTAACCTAAATTTAACTACTAAACTTGCTATAATAAACTTACTTTACTTGACTCACTTACTCATTTTACCATTCTGACTTTAAATCAGTTTAATTCACATACATCATATCCTAAAACAACTTTATTTTCTTACTTCATTTAACTGCTTTGATCAATGCACCAACTTATATTAAGTACTATAAATAAAATGCATTACCTGAGTTACTGTAATTACTTAGTTGCTTTTACTTTACTGTTAAAACTTATTGATTTATTGACAATGATAGAGTGATAGGTCTCACCTCTGTTGGCCACCTGCATAGGAAGGAGAGAGGCAACATTGGAGGAATTTGTGGATTTGACAGTGAGAAGGGAAGGTTAAGGACTATCTGTAAGATGTAAGTGGAAGCAATGGGTTGTGAAGAAGATACAGACGGAGGCTGCAATTTATATGGCTAGACTTAGCCAGATGTTGAAATTCCTTAAGGAAGCAGATGTTTAAGTTTCTTTCATAAATATAACTCAAAACTCACAGAACAGAAGGGTAAAGTGCAAAAAAAAGACAAAAATACAATTTAATGCAGTCTGAAAACAGGTTTTATTCACTCTTAGCGAGATAAAACAAAGAGTTCCCTTTTGATTCTGTTTTTACTAGGGTACATAAACCTTCAAATGCTTTTATTTAAGAGGCCATGGTTCTTCCTTTCCTTTCACTTAATGCTTCGGATAAATCTTTTTGTATATAGAGAGGAAAATGGCTTTCAGAAGCTTAAAAATGAGCTTGTGTGTTTTGATTTGTTCTCAACATATTACAATAGATCTAAGCATTTAAAAAGAAATACAGCTATATTCATTCTGAAACCCTTACCTGTGAAAGAACAGGAAAAAAATTGTATTTTCAGCCCAAAAACATTAAAAAAAAAACAAAAAAAAACCCCAAAAAACCCAAACAAACAGATTGAGTAAAAAAAAAAAAAAAAAAGCAAAAAATGTAGAAAAGATGTACACATTTTGTGAAAATACCTCATCCACATGTTTATCTTTGTCTTTATCGAGTGAACCGTAGGTTGTGTATTCGACAAAAAAAAAAAAAAAACAAAAAAAAAACTGAAATGTTAGAACTGTAAATATACGGTCAGATGTTTATATTACTGTTTCTACGTATTTTCTACTGTTTTCAAGGCTGCACTTTTACAAAATTAAATTGTATAGGGAGCTGTTCTTATTTTGTCATTTTGTGTTCACAAAATGACAAAATAAATCTGTCTACTGTCTGTCTGTGACAGGGTCGCCTTCGCGTTTTTTCCACTGCCATATATCAAACTTTCCAGCAGATGTCGCCAACGAGCTCTATTTGCCCACAGCTCCTACGTCCAAACTGCCAACTGTTTAAAAACGTGTGAACTGTTGTTTGCCAACCTTATTAAGACAGAAAATAGAAATTACTGGATGAGAAATAACTAATAGTTAACGAAAAGAGAAGCAAAGTTCAACTAAATTATATGGGTTTTATCAAAAACGCCTTTAATTTGAGTCAACCGAATTTTACTAAGGCAAAAAAAAAAAAAATGTTTAGGTTTATTGTTGCATTATAACAGCAAAAAAGGAGTGAAAAGCACATCCTTTTTCCTCAAAATAAAATTTGTCCTAAAAGGCTACCATAGATGTGTATAGTTAAAACGTTGTAGTTACAGAGATACTCATTATAATTGTTTTACTTTGTTGAAAGTTGCATTTTGTCATGTTTATTGATGAGGCACTTATATAAAAAAAAAAAATACGCAATCAATCAGCTAGTTGCAGATTCCTAAAGCTTTGGTTTAGTAAAGTTAAGTAACTTTTCTCCCGGACTTTAATTTCGACCAAAGAAAAGTTAATTAAAATCTATTTTCCGTTTTCCACCAAAATAATCTGGACCCCCCCACCCCCCGAAAATTAGTTTGTGCTTTTATTTATTTTTATTTTATAAAGCTTTTATGCACATACAAATTAGAACTGATGAACTGATTTGATTGATTAATAAAGACTCGTAGTTTGTTTTCTTTTATTAAATAATAATCTATGGCTGATTGCAGTGTTGTGCCTGAACGCGTTCATTGAACGAAAGTTCATGAACTCGTTCATATTTTGGGCGAACGTGAACTGAACGTACTGCATTATTGCCTGGTGAACGTTATTGTGAACTCGTTCATTCTGGCGTCTGTGAACGGAGCTCTCTCAGTTCAAGTCCGTTTAACAGGTTGCCAGATTTCTATAAAGCCCTCCAGGCGAAACCCCGGCTAAATCACACCGTAAACAGGCCTTAATATGTAGCGGGAAAGAAACAGAAGAGAAGAAATAATAGTTAGTAGATTAAGAATAGGTCATACCTACTTAAATGACATGCTTTACTTAATAGGGAGGAAAAATAGTGAGAAATGTGAGAAATGTGGTGAAAAAGAAAATGTACTGTAAGTTATATGAACACGAAAGGGAAAAATTAAAGAGAATAGTTAGAAGTATAGGGCATGAATGGAATCTTAAAGGAATATTAGGAAATGAAGGAAACATAACAGATATTCATAAACTAAGGAAAGCATTGTTTATGTATCTTAAGAATACAAAATTAAAAAATAGAATCTAATAGATGTGAAGTAACGCTGCTACACACTCATGTACAGTAGGTGGCGGTATGCACCTTAAAGTTGCTTGTGATCCGCCATAATAGAAGAGAAGAAGAATATGTAGCGGGAAAAACACCCAATCTGGCAACACCAGCTACCAGCGTCGTAGCCTACAGCCGCGTGCGTCATCAAAACAAAATGCAGCGTGGAAGCAACAGCAGCATGTAGGCGACTTAAAACAGGTTTATGACCAGGATGATGGCAACAAGTTTGCCCGCCGGCTTTCAGTAAAAAAATCCGCACTTCAGTAACCTTAAATTCCTACCTCAGCCTGGTCCCTCAGTTTGTGTTAGTAAAATGTTCTTGATCGGTCTTCAACGGGGGATCCGCGACCCCTAGGGGGTCTACGGAGGTACTGCATGAGCGTCTGCATGGTTAGTTGATATTTTTATATTCCCCCCCTGCATTTCTTTCCCCCACTAATTGAAATGTCTTTAAATACTCATTAACATGAAATCAACGCACTGTAGTAAACAGATAAATGGAGGCAGAAGATGTCTTTCAGTCATCAATGCTCACATTCAGCGACACACAGGAGCTCTTTCAAGCTGGGCACCGTTTCCTTCACAACACCTGTCCCATCAACCAGGAATCAGAATCAGAAAAACTTTAATAATCCCAGGGAGAAATTAATTTCTTTACATTACTCCATCTGTAATAGAGTGACTATAGGACACAATTTCATACAATATATATAAATAGGGGGTCCCCGCTCCATCTCGCCATCAGTTTGGGGGTCCTTGGTCTGGAAAAGAAGACCCCTGTTCTTGAGGGTTTTACTATCCATGTAACTTGTTTGTTAAACCTG